TGTCCATTCCAGCGCCGCAGCGCCCAAACTCAGCGCCAAAGCGCTCTGGTTGCTGAAAATTATGTCCATTCCAGTGTCGCGGCACCCAAACTCGGTGCCAAAGCGCCCTGCTTGCTGGAAATTATGTCTATTCTAGTGTCGCGGTGCCCAAACTTGGCACCGCGGCGCCCTTCCTGCTAGAAATGGCTATCTCTTAAATGCAGAGAATGAAAGGCGCTTTTATATGTCCGTTTCATTATATATGTTTATCAATTGCAGATTACTATCATCTTTAAATTTACATCTTTTGTATGTTCTTCTCCTTACATGCACGATCTAAAGACTTAGAACGATAGTCTCAGACTTCAGTTTGCTTATCATACATTCAGCTACTATAAACGTAAAAAAGACAATTAAAAGATATAAAAAATGAATAAATCTTTATTCATAGTCAAAATGTCTCAAAAGCATTGTTACATTTATTCCTAAAGGCATAAACACTAACACGACACAACTTGAAACCGAAACGAGATTAGCACTCAACTCACGAGTCTCCTACTACCATTAAAACATGTACGTAGCCGGATTGACAATTAGAAGAACTTTTCTTCTCTTTTTCTCAGGTTACACGCCTGTTACTAACATGCTACACGCCTATCAGATGTATGTTACACACCCATCACTGGTACATTATACGCCTACTATAGACACTACAACAGAGTAGCCCTTTAATAAATGTTAGTTATATCGTTTCTGAAAAAACGTCATGTTACATAATAGTGTTTTAAAAGAGTTATCATATATTTATATTTATCTGTATATATATATTTAGTGGATTTATTTTTTATATATTTAAATATATATATATATATATAAATACACACATTAGAAATAAGTTTTGCGGGTAGTGAAATTTTGTTCCCACATGCTATAGATTTTAGAAAAATTACTTTTAGATGTGCTGAAAGAAGAAGTTGCTATTACAAAAAGTAGCTGAGTGCTTGATAAACTATAATTATAATAGATGTGCTGGTTTCAAAATCAGTGTCATAGTGTTTAGTAAATTATGAGATTGAATTGCTGTATATAGTTAAAAATTACGACTATATTATATTATAGTATAATATAATATATATAATTACAATATAATGTATATTTATTATTATATTTAATATAATACAATAAACCTATTATTAAATATATTATATAACTATGATATATAATATAATAATATTATTAAAATGATTAATATAATTACAATATTATAAAAAATATTATAATATTACATAAGAAATATTAATATTTCAGTTATAATATAATTAAAAATTATAACTATATTATAATATAATATAATATAATATATTATATTATATTAAATAAATATATTATAATTAATATATTATATAACCATTACAATATAACATATAATATATTATAAAATAATAATTACAATATCATATTATAATTATAATATCACATTATTTAAATAATTATAATATTATTATAATATCATATTATATGATAAACTAATAATATTAGAGTTATTAATATAAATATGATATTATTTGTTACAATATTACTATTATATTATATTATATTACATTATGAGTCTGAATTTTTGATCTGGAAGATTGTAAATTTTAAATTTCATTAGGGGTATTATGGGTATTATTAAAGTTTCATTAATTATACTATGCTGATTCCCACACAATTTAAAAGCTAAAGTTGTCTTTAGACTACTTCTGATTTTTGCTGTAGATTCTTAAAAAATTCTTCAAAACGTACTTTTGAGAAGATTTATTAAACACTAAAATTAGCTTCTGCTACAAACATAAGCTGATTTTAGGAGGAAGAAGCAATACCAAACTAAGCTAGTAATGTAGTTCGATAATATGCTTTCATCACAAATACTTATGAGGATCTTGAATTGCTTTTAGGACAAATTAGTAGTAGTTAAAAGTAAGCATGTCATAGAGTTAGAGTACCCGTCATTTTCGCACAATAGAAATACGAACCAAAAAGAAAGGAAACATCTAACGAAAAGAGCTTTGTAAATAGGTAGCCAGACTTTCACCCCCGTTTATTTCACTGATTCGAGTTTTGTTACAGTAAAAAGTTTTTATAGACGGTCACATCTAATTTTTTTGCTACAGTAAAAAGTTCTCACATAAAATCACATCTCAACTCGAATCAGCGAACTAATAACTTGGTTCAACACTTGAAAATTACCTCTTATCCTCTAGACACCAGCCTGAAAAAAAAGCTCTCCAATGAAATTTTTTTGAGTTTTGACAACTTACTACATATAATTAAGGAACTTTTTTTGGTGTTCCATTTTTTTGAGAATACCAGTGTTCTCTGTTTATCAGTTGTCAAATTTGTATTAAATCTGGTCAAAAGCTAAATCAGATTGAAAAAATAATACATATTTGACGGCTGATAAATATGAAATACCGGTGTTCTATAAAAAGAGTGAACACCAAATAAATTCTCTATAATTAATGTGCTAATTGTGAATTTAACATTTAAGTGTAAAAAATATTTTTTACTATAACGTTATTTGTTGTGTCAAATTTATCATATGTTGTACTTTATGAAAGAGATATAGGAATATTGATCTAATCACTTTTTTTTTTAAAAATGATGACTTGAGTTTAATTCAATATTTATGGGCATTTTAGTAATTAGACAATGAAATTGGCTAACGTGGTATGCACATCGCATATGCCAATTTTCGCCAGGTTTTTCGAATTTAGGTGGAAGTCAATTGATTGTCAACGATTTAAGAGCTGGGGGATTATTTTGTCAAAATAAAAAAAGGATTAAAGTGTCAATTACTAAGGGCTTATTCTTTTGGAGTTTAACTTGAGTATAATTCTTGAGTTGAATTTGAGTTATAACTTGAGTTAAACTTGTAACTTGAGTTTGTGTTTGGTTGTGTACATTTGAGTTATGATTTGAGATAAGAATCTTTTTGAGTTTGTGTTTGAGTGAGTCAAAACGTGAATTTGTATTTAGATAGTATTTTAATAAAACTCAATGCTGAGGAAAAATTTTAATAGGGTATATGGGTCGGGTTTTATTCGTTTTTTTGTTGTTAACGCATAGAAAAAAAAAATCATCTCAATAAGAATTAAAACAAAAAAGTTATAGCATTTTTAAGAATAGAAAAAATGAGTTCGAGTTTTTGAACTCGAGTTGAAGGGGAAACTTGAACTCGAGTTTTAGTCATAAACTCGAGTTTGAACTCAAGTTTAAACTCGAGTTTAAGCTTAAAAGAACATGAACTCGAATAAAATTGTAACTCGAGTTGCGTTTTTTTTAAGTTTTTCACTTAAAAGAACAAGCCCTAAATAATTGAAGAACTACCGGTGCAAATTACTCTAAAATATATTTAAGAGTAAATACTTATTATAATAATAATTTTAAAAAAAATTATGTGATTGAGTACTAAAATTACATTATTTATAAATTACAATTATAAAGAGTTAGATCTTAAGTAAATTCTACAAAATTAACTTATATTTTAAAGAGCTAACCTATTTATCTATACATATATATAAATTTCAATAGATGATGTTTGATGAATAATATTGTCTGGTTCGCTTCGCGGATTTGAGTTTTTAATTCGAATTGAAATGCGAAATTTTTTTAGAGCTTTTAACTGTAGCAAAAAAGTTAGATGTGACATTTTTTGAGAATTTTTAACTGTAGAAATCTAAAACTTCGGTGAAATGAACAAAGTCATGTCAACAAAAGCACGCTCGTTTTGATTGATAAGGGTTTTTTTTTTTTTTTTTTTTTTTTTTTTTTTTTTTTTTTTTTCTTTTTTTTTTTTTTCATAATTTTATATTTTTCATTCTTGCCTTTTGCTCCATTTATTTTTTTTCATAATTTTATATTTTTCATTCTTGCCCTCTTTTTTAACTTTTTTTCTTTTCATTTACTTAGATTAATTTCTTTTTCCTCATGTTATTCTACTTAGATATTTCTTTCTAATTGTGCCATAAAACTTATTTATTTTTCATTGTAGTCTTTTTTTCCTTTTTTTTTGTCTTGAAATTTCATTTTTCTTTTTGTTTTGCTCCCTTTTGTCCTAAAACTTATTTATTTCTTCATTTTGGCATTTTTAACCTTTTTTTTATTTGGTTCCTTTTACATTAAAACTTATCCATTTTTTCATTTGAGTACTTTTTTTACCATCTTTATTTTAGTCATGATTTTTTTTTATTTTGATTATTTTTGCCCTAAAACTTATTTATTTATATCAATTTTTGACCTTTTTTATTTTATTTTTACCCTAGAACTTTATCTTTTGGATTGATTACACAAATTCTCTATGAAATATGATCCTTGTTACACTTTATCTCCGATCTTTAAAAGATAATAAATGAAACTTATTTATTTCTTCATTTTAATTATTTTCTAATACTTTTTTATTTTTATTTTTAAATTTTAACTTTTTCGTTATGGTTCTTTTTATTCTAAAACTTATTTATTTATACATTTTGGTCTTTTTTTATCCTTTTATTTTTACTCTAAATTTTTTTCATTTTAGTCTATTTTATCTTAAAATTTATTTATTTCTTCATTTTAGTCTTTTTTTTAACTTTTTTTCTTCTTGCTTTAATTCTTTTATTTTGATTACTTTTACAATTTTATATTCAATTGTTATATATTTTTAACTATATTATGATAATTAAAACTTAAAGCATGAATTATTCTTCGCCCGCAAAGTACGTAGAGTTTAACCAGTATGATTTTAAGGTTGATAATCCTTTTCCATCCTGTTCGATATTTTTATCCTACACTGATTTCTGAAAAAAAAAAAAAAAAAAAAAAAAAAAAAAGGGAAACAAAAAAAAAAAACGGGCCTCAAAAAAATAAAAGGGAAGAAAAAGAAAAAAAGAATCAATCACGTGGGGACTGAAAAAGAGGAAAAGAAAAGTGAGAGACGTGGAATGTTTATATTTCATATATCTGTGATTTGTTAGTCTCGTACGTCCAAATTTCTTCTCTTTCAGTTTCGTCTCAGAATTATTTCCCCTTTCCTTATTATGCCTTAGCTTCATTTTCAGATTTTCCTCCATTTTCTCTTCTGGGCACCTGCAAATTGCTCTGTCTTTCTCATTTCGGTAAGCAATATTTTTGTTTTGGGTTTTTTGGGGCTTGTTCTGCTAATGTAAAAACGTTCATTTCTTTATATGAGCTTGCTTTGTTGTTATTATTTGGTGTCTTTACTGGGTACAAACATGCATGAATTCATAAATTGCTCCTCTTTTTTTGGGGGGTTTTTTTTTTTTGTGTGATGTTGGTAAAAAAAAAAAATCTTTGTTTCAAATCTTTGGCAAGTTTTTGAATTTTGGCTTCTGGGTTCGAATGAAATTGTATATTTGCGAATTGTGATTATTCTTTGTTTGACAGTCGAAATTGTAAATTATTAGTGCCCATATAGAAGAAATAATGAAATAATTTACATGTCTTTATTGTGATTTGTGATCTTCATGGGCTTTAATTATTTTCATTCGTACTTGGAATTTTTAAGACAGAACTATATGTTTTACTTATTTGCATATTCTTGGCGACATAATGCTTTTCAAGGATTATGATGCAACTGGATTGAATGTAAATTATGATCTCTTTCCCAGAAAATTTTTCGATTAATGTGTGCGTTACTATTGGAAATTTTCTCTGATTAAAGGTGTATTATTTAGGTCTCTGGCGCTGCTTTGATTCATTGTATAGTGAACCATTCGTATATTTGGCTAATGGGTTCTTCTGAAGCAGTTCTGCAAGTTTTTTCCAGAACTGTACCTCACCATTTTTTTACTGACTCATCTTTTGGAAAATTAAAATCCGATTCAACACATTCTTCTAAGAACTACATCAAATGCATAGACAAAAAGGTCTCCAAATGTATGCAATTGGGAAGTGGTCCATTTGGAAATATGACGATTTGTCGTCCATCACTTCAGAGTTGCAAGTGCCATCCGTCCGAAAGAGTTAGTGGGATAACTGCGGAAGATGTCAACGGGACATGGTTTGTAGATAATGCGAATAAGTTAAATACAATCAATGGTGTGGTGAATGGACCAAATGTTCTGGAGTTTCAGGATGTTCAACAATCGAAACAGGAAAAAGATGGTTTGACATCTAATGGTGCTAATGGAACAGTAGTCAGAGATGAGTTTCGTAAGATTAGTGTCGATTCCATTGAGGATGAAGCATGGAATTTGCTACGGGATTCTGTCGTTTACTACTGTGGCAGTCCTATTGGAACCATTGCCGCAACTGATCCGACCAGTTCCAATGTTTTGAACTATGACCAGGTCTTCATCCGTGACTTCATACCTGCCGGTATAGCTTTCTTATTGAAGGGAGAGTATGATATTGTTCGGAACTTCATCCTACATACACTTCAATTGCAGGTACTGTCATAATCCAATTAGACTGATTTTTTACTCTTTTACAAATAATTTTGTTGATTTCCCTGTCTTTGTTCTTTTTGTTGATAAAAGCAGAAACTTTCCTTGTATTGTTAAATTCTTCTGTTCATTTGCTTTTCCAATATGAAATTTGGCAACGTGATGCATTCATTTTTTTTTTTTAAATTCTAAATACTTATGGATCTTGCATGAACATATTCTTTGTCCAGTTCAATGTCTGAATGTAGTGCTAGTGCTTGTGTTAATATTGATCTCCGCAAATTATATCTGTGGATATTTCCAGTCGACAATTGTTTGCCAGAGCCGCGGAGGATTATTATACTACACAGACGCTTTTGTTGGACACCCTAATAGTAATCTCATATTGTCATACTGATTATTGTTACACCGTAAACACCTACACAATAACTGATGCTATACAATGCATGACAATTGATGCCATACAATATAGTATAAATACCATTTATTACGGCTTGCCAAGTGTTTTTTATTTTTTATTTTTTTATTATTATTTTTTTGCTTGGCATGCCAAGTTAAGGCTTAATTATTTTGCTTATAAATTGTTGTCATTGATGTTCATATGATTATTCTTTGAGCTTGTTGTATCACTCAGTGCACATAACTTTAATGTTGCAGAGCTGGGAGAAGACAATGGACTGCCATAGTCCTGGTCAAGGATTGATGCCTGCTAGCTTTAAGGTTCGCACAGTTCCCTTGGATGGTGATGGGTCGGCAACAGAAGAGGTACTTGATCCAGACTTCGGGGAGGCAGCAATTGGTCGTGTTGCACCTGTTGATTCTGGTAAATAACTTATCTGATCAAGTGTTTCAAATACAAAATACATGCTCACATTAGAATATGCTTAAAATTTCTATCCTCCTGTTATGAATTTCAGGATTGTGGTGGATTATCTTGTTACGCGCTTATGGAAAGTGCTCTGGCGATTTGTCTGTTCAAGAGAGAGTTGATGTACAAACAGGCATCAAGATGATACTAAAGCTCTGTCTTGCTGATGGTTTTGATATGTTCCCTACATTGCTAGTGACGGATGGCTCTTGCATGATAGATCGCCGTATGGGTATTCATGGACACCCTCTAGAAATCCAGGTAAATGCGCGCGCGCTCTTGCGTGTATGTGTGTGTGTGTGTGCGCGCGCGTGCTTGTGTGCACGCGCGGGCATAAGCTAGTCTTCTCCCGAGACAAACTAGTAATTGTCTTAGAGACATGGTTGATAAGTATTGGAATTGGGTGGAAGAAGAAGTTTGGGAAGTTTTTTTGGGGGTTAACTGTTCCATTATGGATGAAGGACTACTGAGTGATAGGTTCTGCGGAGAGGTAATAATACTCAGTTCCTCACCAGTCACAAAGGAGACTCAAGACTGCTTTTGGTGGTTGGCATTGTGTGACAATGATGATTGCTAGACCACACTTAGGTAACAATATGGAGTTCACAAGTTCAACAACTATCTTATGCCTTGTTTGAAGGAAGAAAGTTTGAACAAATGTGCACTTTGAGAATTTCAATAACTAATATGTTGGGAAATGGGTTTCCTTTGAGATGGGTTGATTTGTTCTGTTAGCGCTTGTAATGCTTGAGCGTTTTAGGCAATGCTTCTACATACCAGTACTTTTTTGATAAACAAAGTTTTATAGTGTTTATGTTCAAGAATGTGTTGAGCAGGACCCCTTTCCACCATACACCCTCTTCCGTTGAAAGATCTAATAAGAGGATTAAATCTCTTGTTCTCAGCCTTTTAGGTATTACCATTGTCTTTATCAGAATTAGTCCAATTCCCTTCTTAGTACTATGGTTTGTTGGAAAGTTTAACTTAACAGTGTAGAAAACGCTTCTTGTCTGTTGGTTGTTGGTTTATATAGGCTGAGAATGAGTATGGGTGATTGTTAAAATTTGTTTACCTTCTCGAGATTAGTTTTTTTTGTTTATTTATTCATTTATTTTTTAATGTTTTGTCGAGTCTCAGTACCGGAGAAATTTTGAGTGAAATTGATTCTTGCCTTTTTGTTTATTAACTATATGTATGCCTTTCTTATATAGAAACCAAACAATTGTTTCGGACTTGGGCCTAGGTTTAGTTTGATGTTGGAATGATATCATAATATTTAAGCAAATGATATTTTTGAGCGTGTGATAGTTTTCTCTAGGGAGTGCTGCATGAATGGTGCAAACATGGACTTTGGAAATATTGATTGTCTTAAACTGTTTTGCATGGTTGCTTGTCTACGCCAAAAGCAGTATTCAGAAGGCAATAAACTGAGGTGCAAACACCTGAGTAGAAAAAGTAGCATGTCAGGTTGGAATGGTCAATGTTCTAGCAAGAGTTGCAATCTTTGTATTTGTTGTCCTTGCCTATGACAGAATGCTAGAAGAGGCAACATTTTTAACTTAGTGGATTTGAATTTAGTAGTTCATGTACCAAGTTTTTCAGTTGTAAATTTACTTTTGGAAATAAGACAAAGAAACTTTTGATTGACCGGTCATGTAAACATCTATAGTATGTGCTCTTTTCTGTTTTTGTCCCCTATTTTCTGAGTAAGTTACGGGAATCCGGCCTTATATTGTATTTGATTCTTGCAGGCACTCTTTTATTCAGCATTACTTTGTGCACGTGAGATGCTTGCTCCCGAGGATGGATCAGCTGATCTTATCCGAGCACTTAACAATCGTCTCTTGGCTTTGTCATTCCACATCAGAGAGTATTATTGGATTGACATGAAAAAATTGAATGAAATCTACCGTTACAAAACTGAAGAATACTCATATGATGCTGTCAATAAATTCAACATTTACCCGGATCAAATTTCTCCTTGGTTGGTAGAGTGGATGCCCAGCAAAGGGGGTTACTTGATTGGAAACTTGCAACCAGCTCATATGGATTTCCGATTCTTTTCTTTAGGAAATTTGTGGTCCATAGTAAGCAGCCTTGCTACCATGAATCAATCACACGCCATTTTGGATCTTATAGAGGCCAAATGGGATGATTTGGTGGCTGACATGCCTTTTAAGATTTGTTATCCTGCTCTAGAAGGCATGGAATGGCAGATCATAACAGGCAGCGATCCCAAGAACACGTAATGTCCTAAACTTGTGCAACGAGATTGTCACCCATGCTTTGTTTTACTACTTTCTTAGTTTCACAGCCTTTTTTGTTTCTGATGCAGGCCTTGGTCTTACCACAATGCGGGTTCTTGGCCGACTCTGCTGTGGCAGGTTAGTTATCTTAACCTAGTAGTTATTTGGTTGTTAGTATGTGTGTCATTTCCATAGATCGACCAAAAGGTTGACGTTGGAGCACGTTATATAGGAATGAATAATGGTAGCTGTAGAGAGTGCACAAGGCTGTTTTCTCAGAGTGGTTTGGACCATAACTTTCCAGTGGTGCATAGAACAACTTGTATGTTCTTTGGAATATTTATAAATGGCTGACTGCTCGTGCATGATGAACCTGTTTTTGATTGAATGCGGATTGGTAGATTTACATAGAATGGTTATGCTATGTATTTGACATGTTTAAGGTGCCTTTCGCAGCTGACAGTTGCATGCATAAAGATGAACAGACCAGAGATTGCTGCTAAAGCTGTCGATGTTGCTGAGAAACATATATCACGAGACAAGTGGCCCGAATATTACGACACCAAGAGAGCAAGGTTCATTGGAAAACAAGCACACCTATATCAAACTTGGTCAATTGCAGGATACCTTGTTGCGAAGCTCTTGCTTGCTGATCCTAGTAAGGCCAGGATGTTGATAACCGAGGAGGATTCCGAGCTAGTCAATGCTTTCTCTTGCATGGTCAGTGCCAACCCGAGAAGAAAGCGCGGCCGGAAGACTTCAACACAGACCTACATAGTTTGAGTTCTCCGCAACCACTAATTTTAATGTGGTGTGATAGGTACTTGATTATTCTCCTGATATTATTATTTTTATCACTATTATTATTTTAGTGAACTATGATTGGAGTATAAGAGAAAGTTAGCTGAGTCTAAAATAGATTATATCTTCTTTTACATTTGTTTGCATGTATAGGCCTAAATGTTACACAGGCTTATTCATGTATATTAGATTATTAGTATTGTATTGTAAAGATGACAAAAGTCCTGAATGAGGTCCATAGATAGCACTGAATTGACTCAGGTGATAACATTACACCTAAATCTTATAAATATAAATATAATAAAAAAATATTGTTTCTGAGATTTAATTGTCTATTGAGAACTTTATGATTGCTTGCTAGCCCATTTAGTTGTGCCCTTTAATATTAAGTTATTCGATTGTCTAATCAATCATGGAAGATGTTTGCTGTATGATTATGTTGCGAGGCTGCTCATTGATTTTGAGCAAAATCTGGCTTTATAGGATACAATCTTTTTTGTTTAATTTTCAATTTTTGCGAGTACTTGAAAATGGTATTCTTGAAAAGACTGTTTGCTCATAGAAGAAACTGTGTTTAATTTTAAGGACAAGTTTTTATATTATCATGAAAGAAAAAATTTTTAAACAATTGAAACTAGAAAAATCGTAGATCAAAATTATTGCCTTTGGGATTTCTCTTTTAGACAACCATCATTTATTTCTCTAAGTGTAATTGTGTCTCTCCGCATAGTTAATTTTGGCTAAATGACTAAATATAAAATTAAGGAGGAATTTTGTGTGATTAGAAAAAATGCACGGGTGGATTTTGTGTGATTGAAAAAACATGAGGGAAATCTTAGCATTTTATAAAAACACCTGATATATTCTTGCATTTTGATTAAGACACATGGAAGATTTTGTTATTATCCCCGTAAAGTTAATGATCTTTAAGCAATTAATTAACAACTACAACTGTGTATTAGTATTGTTATGACAATGATATATTGCCCTAATCTGTTTTGGCCTTATTAACATTAATGTCTAAAGCCATATATTACTTCTTCAAAGTATTATCAACATTGTTGACACAAAGCGGCCAACAAGTATTTTAAGTTTTTTTTTTTTTCTTATTTATTTATTTATCTTTAAGTTGGTAAGATGGACAGCTCCTTTTTTTTTTTTTTTTTTTTTTTTTTCAAAATAATTGTACAACATGCAGGCAGTAAAGCGTTTCTTCTCACTCTTGTCTTTTATTTTAGAACTAATTTCATAAGTTCCCCTTAAATTTTGTATCTTGTTTCAACATGCTTTCAAACTTTGAAAATGTTCATTCCATCTCCCAAATTATGTACTCTAATTTAAAATAGCCCCATACATTTTTAAAACAAACAAAATGAGGATGTGATGCTACTTATACTTTTATAAATGCCCTCTAAACGATTGGTTTTAAATCAACTTGCCCTTAAATTATTATTTTTGTGTCAATTTGTCATTGTATTGGAAAAATTTATACAAAATTAGTAGTTCAGAGGATATTTATAAAATAACGTTAATTTAGGGGTTGTTTTGAAGCACTTTTCATATTTCAGGAGGTGTGAAAGGTATTCTTTTTAAAATTTAGATGCATGTTGAAGTATGGTATAAAATTCATAGTTACTTATGAATCTAATCCTTTCTTTTATTTTTTTCTTGAGCCTTAGATTTTGGATTCGTTATATGTTTTGCATGTGTCATTTTCATGGTACTTTTGAAGCATAACTTAGATTGATGGAACTTTGAATGCAGTCCCAATAGTTCTTCCTCTCATTCAACCTTCCCACCTCTGCCCCAACCTCCCCAGGAAAAAATTAATAAATAATGCATAAAGGAAAAACAATAACTTGGAAGAAAGAAAAAAAGGAAAAAAAAAAAAAAAAAAAAAAAAACAGAGATATGTTATAAGATATATTGCAGCTGAGGAGGTACTAAAGGCTGGAGGTACAAAAATAAGATGACAAATACAAGCTGGTTGAAAGGATCTTAGACAGTTAACCAAAACGTTTTCTAGAAATCCATGTGTGGAATTATGAAATAAACCATGAAGAGGTCAATTTTTTATTTAAATTTAATGCCTCTGGGCAAAAGGAAGAAGCTAAAAGTTCAATTTTGTCCAACTACTAAAGATAGATTGTTTGAGGTGTTTATTAGACATAAATTGCCCATTAAAATATTGCGCACTTAATATGTGATGTTGACTAAAGACCTAATCTTCTACTTGGACAAAATTTTCTTAGCTATAGACTCATTTTACCTGATAATCCACCCTTTAACAATGCTTATTAGTTCAGTGAAAAAAAAAAAAACTTCTTTTTGCTTGTTATTGAAGCATCAAAATGTAATGAAGTGCTTGGATTCCAACTTTTTGGTAATCTTTTTGCCCTTTTAACTTTTTTGAGCTATAAGAAAAAAAAAAAAATAAATAAAAGAAAAGTCCCCAAAATTATATGGGACATACCCTCAAAGAAGAAAATGATTGGTCCAAGTGGTGAGTATTATTACAGTAATCCTATTAGTTTTGACTGAAAAGCATTTTAGTGTTTTATTAGAGGTCACAGAAAGTACTGCATGTGCCTTTACAGTTTTCATAATTTTTCATTGATTTTTTTTTCTTTCCATTCCGAAAAGGGTTTACATAGTAAAAAAAGATTATATATATATATATTCTCATGAAAGGTAAAAGATTGCATTCTGTTGGTTTCTTTTTTCTTTCCTATTCCGACAAGGCGCTTTCCTTTCCTGTTGATGAACTATGCTGTCGAAAATACAAGAAAAAGAAAACCCAATACAGATAACGAAAATTATGTCCTTTAACTTTTATTTTGCCATTGGATAAGCTGATATCTTTCTCTTTTTCCCTTAATGTAAGAAAGAGAAATGCTAACGTTATTTTTTTTATCATTTTTTTTTGTCACTCTTACATTCACTGTTTGGCACTAAATTTTACTAACACATTTTCTGTTTAAATGATAATATAATATATTAGTAGAATTCACGTGTTAAATGATGAATGAAAAGAATAACAAAGAGAGTGGCAGAAAGAACAACGCTAACATTCCTCATATAAGAAAAGGCATATCCTGCATGAATTCTAAATCTAGCATGTAGAAATTGAGTGTATTGTGAGATTTTCTGACCTAAGTGTGTCATGAGATTATTTCATGTAAAAATGATTTTATAAAAATATCAACAACAACAACAAAAACAAGCTTTAATATTAAATTAATTGGGGTCGGTTATATGGATTTTTCATTTTCAGTTTGTTCTATTAAACACGAGATCCTCCTAAAACCTTAGATCTTGAAAGTCGTGCCTAACTACATTAGTCCAAGTAATTCTTTGTCTACCTCTTGCTTTCCTAGTACTAGGTATTTGGATGTTCTCCCAAACACAATATGTGCATCTAACGATCTACGTTGTACATGCCTGTACCACCTCAGACGGTTTTCTCGTACCTTATCTTCTACTGGTGCTACACTTACTTTACTACGAATAACTTCATTCCGTATGCGATCCATCCTCGTATGGCCACTCATTCATCTTAACATACGCATCTCCGCCACATTCATCTTGTATATTTGTTGTCTCTTGATGGCCCGATTCACTACCATATAACATAGCTGGGCGAATTGTTGTCCTATAGAATTTTCTTTTCAACTTAATAAGCATCTTATCATCACATAAAACTCCCGTGGCATATTATCATCACATAACTCCGCCTATACGGTGATTTGTATAGCCGGTCGTAAACCCGGGTAATTGAGGAAGATTACGGTAGGTTGACAGCCAACGTAAAAATATATCACTTTACATGAATTTCTCATTTAAAAGAAAAATGATAATAAATTTATCTATGGCAGATTAATGTTATTTGTTTTTAAAATTATTGTTATGCAGAACTAATTTCATGTTGTACCGTTTATTTGTAGGTGTTATAATGCAGGTCTATACACATATATAGATATATATATATATATATATATATATATAAATGTATATATTTTTTTTCTTTTTCATATAATATTTCTGGTTGGTATTGCATCAGCTGGCAGAAAGGCACATAAAGAACAGAATTCAGTATAAATAGACTAAATAAATTTAGAGATAGAGACATGCATGCATATTTTTCTAGGGGTTTAAGCATTTTTTGTATATATTAATTTGTTATAAAAAGAAAATTTTGCTTGCTTGACCAATCCTCTCTAATTGATAGCATTATAAAGGAATACAACAAATAGTCTCCGGAGGTTTTGAACACTCATCTTAGATTTATGAAAGCTTAATTTAGAAGCTTAGATATGAAAAAAAAAAAAAAAAAAAAAAAAAAAAAAAAAAAAAAAATTGTGTTAAAAACTTGCAAAATGAAAAAAAAAAAAAAGAAAAAAGAAAAAAAAGTTGTGTTAAACACTTGCAATATGTGGTGGTAGGTATTGTGTGGAGCTATAAAATAATATTATGTGATAAAAGATGAGTCACCAAACGTACTAAAAATCTGTGTGGTTCTTAATTTCTGAAATCACGACTCACAGTGACCAAACAAAAATCGGCAAAGTCTCTCTTTCAACCTCTGTAATCAAAGCTCACGGCCAGCCCATCAATGGCAGACTAAAAACCCCAACAGCACCAACAAGTTTTCATCATATTTATTGCAATAAAGTTATGAGAGGCAATTGAGTTCAAAACCATAAAATAAAGTTACGAGAGGCAAGAGTTTAAAACCGAAATTAAAGCTATTAAGGGATTTTTACAGTAGGATCTTGTCCTTTTTAACCATCAATAATTACCGTAATTTTAACTATCGAAATAAGATTTCAAGAGTATAATTTATGAATGTCTACGTTAAAAATTTATAGCGCGTGATATATAGCCGCAACAATAACATATCATAACGTTAAAAATATAATTCAACGATCAAAATAGCAAGAATTACCGATAGTTAAAAATGATACATAATATCAAAGAAAAACTTAAAAAATAATCCCAAAAAAGTCAATTCATTTAGAACTTGGATTAGGATTCCAATTAAAGAGATTTCTTTTTCTCGCCCCAGATGTCACAATCAGCAGCTTTCCCACCTAACTAGTCACTAATTTCCCCATCTAATTATCTCTCATGCCCAAATCCGGTTAACAAAGCTCAAAACACAAGAAATCACTAATGAAGAATTCGAAGTTCTAACATATTAGGCCCCGTTCATTTCACCGATTTGAGTTAGAATTCAATTTTTGCTATATACAGTAAAAAATTCTCACATAAAATCACATTTTAACTGGAATTAAAAATTTGAATCAGCGAACTAAACGAGTTCTAATTTTGTCAATGGAGCCCCATTTAGAGTTTTTTTTTTTTTTTTTTTTTTTTTTTTTTTTTTTTTTTTTGTTGTATATTAAACATTACCTTGTTGGTAAGTTTTTTATTAAAAAAAAAATTGTCTGGTCACTATTGAATTTTGTTAATTTTACCTATTTTTATTTTTTATGTGATTTTAATCCCCTTACATATCCTGGCCGTATTTATTTTGTTGTTAGAAATGATAAGCCAATCGTCACGTCATTAAACTGAAAGTGCATAGCATGGTATTTATCCATCATTCTTACCTTCTTCTTCTTTTAATTTTTTTTTTCTTTTTTCTTTTTTTTAGCCAAAAATTCCTCTAATAAGCGAGATTATCAAAGTTTTAATACTGTTTCCATTTAGAAATACCGTTATTATTGTGAATTGGCATGATTTTCATAAGCAGAATAATTAAAGGCAATCTCCAACATTTTTATGAACAATATGATACATGTTGAAGGGTCAAGACACCAGTCAATGTTATGGTGTTCATGGGACTGAATATACGTTTATAATGTGTTTTTTTCCTCCTCTTTTTTTCCCTTAAGTTAAAATACCCACACCTTATATTTTAAATTAATTTTATAAATACCCCCCCTAACTATAGAATTTATGTCAGGTTGCTCATTGATTTTTATTGGGGTCATTGCACTCCTCAATTACGTGCAATAGTTAAAATACTGATTACTTCGAAATCCATCTATAATACTAATAAGAGGCTAATGTAACACTAATTGTAATTTCATAAATACCCTTGAAATATGTGTCAACTTTTCTAATTTATAAAAAGCGGTTACTGCATCCCCCAACTAAATAAAAGTGTTCAAAAACACCCCATTTCATCCATTGTCCACAAAACCAACAAAATGACTAACATAAGTATTCAAAAATAGGTTGCGGAAGTTGATTTGGTAAAAACAATTTAACTAAGCATAAATAAATACAATTTATGCAACTTCCCGTCCACTCCTCACGACTTGCCCATGTAGGTTGCCCGGGGAGGGATGCAGTAGCGCGTGTGTAGAGAAATTATTCAGTACACCAGGTGCATCACGTCATATTATTTATGTAGTACACCGTCCAATAAAATTGTATCATTTAGACATTTTATCTATGCCAACTTTTCACTTTTACTTTTCTCTTTCTTAATAGGTATTTGCATTGAATGCCCATTAAGAAAGAGAAAAATAAAAGTGAAAAGCTTATATAGACAAAATGTCCAAATGGTACAATCTTATTGGACGGGTGTACCATATAAGTAATATGACGTGGTACACCCGGTGTACTAAATAATTTCTCGTGTGTGTATCCTGTTTTTTTTTTTTTAATTTGATATCATTTACTAATTTTACTAATTTTTGTTTTTTTACCATTTTTTTCTTGTTTCTTTTTTTTTTGGGGATTAAACGGGTGTTTTGGACTTTTTTTTAAAGAAAAAATTGCATTTCATTAAAATACTAATAAATAATCGTGTTAGTATAATTAAACGAGTGTTTTAGACTATTATATATCGTTGAGGGGGTGGAATGAGCTCTTTCTGAAAAATAGGGGAACATTAACTTGAAGTCTATAATTCACGCAATTTAAAACATTAAAATCCTATTTACATGTGTACTAACTTTCTTTCTATTTATCACTAATATTGTTGTGTAGCATCAACTTTTAGTGCAATCACGCTTATGATACTTTTCTATCAAAAATCACACTTATGATACGGGCGATTAAACTATAAATTATATTCTTAAAAAAAAAAAAAAAAAAAAAGTTAGATTACACAATGCTTTTGTTGACGTTCAACTTTTGTTTTCTACTTGAATTCCATGGAAGATAGGACACTGCTTGATTTTTATTACATGATTAGATATAGGACACTGCATAATGTCATACCATTATTCATTTGTGGACTTGTAACAAAATATATTCTGTTTATTACAACAATCTCATTAGAAATTACATAATCCTTTTAGATTATCTAAATCTGCTATTGATATATTCCATAATTGTTTTCCTTCATGTATCTACTTTTTCTAAATGACAATTTGATTCCCTCAACCAGCCATATCCAGTGACCATTAAGGAATAAAATTTCATTAAAGCTTGCAAAATAAAATATTTAAAATTATCGCTGGACGACATTCAAAGACAACAACAATATATCATCAACTTGCTCATTATTCAATAAAAGGAATGTCATGCTTAAAGATAGTAAACCATAATCAACACTTAAATCTTACATATCTTATAATAGCATTTCTAATGTATTGTATTTGCACTTTCAATATATATATATGTATATGTATATGTCTGTATATATATAATTGTACAATAATTCCCCTTTCCATATTCTTCAAAAAATAAAAGAATCTTCTTTCCATTTATAAAATACATATCAATATTAGTATTACTTACCCTACTGGCCAAACAGTGCTAATAAAAGAACATAGATAAAAATAGGAAAATTACATATAAATAATTTAAATGCCAATTATGGAATGCCAAGGACAGAGCTGGAAATTGACATCAAACTATTGGGCCCACAATGGGCCCTCGTCGAATAAAGGCCATCCAAATGGCCCATCGCTCCATTTTGCCGGCCCATACTGCCGAGTCCCACCCCTTTTTAAACCTCTTCCTTCTCATTCCCTCTTTTCCCACTGTCACTCCTCAACTCCTCTCTCTCTCTCCGCCTCCCTCTCCGACGATCGATCCTCCGCTTTCCGATCAAAATCTCCTTGCCGTCACCGCCGCCATTTCAGCCTTCGATTTCACCTCAATGGAGCAGTGCGCTGACGATCTCGCCGACGACCTGGACAGCATAAGCTTCAACTCCACGACGACGACGGCGACCACCGCCGTCGGGACGAAGAGGAGCACGAGCTCCGGCTCCGAATCTACGACGACGCGGACGGCGTCGAGCCTTCTCTCCTCCTCCTCCTCCCTATCGAAGCCCCACGCGCCGTCGTGCGACCCGTGCTGGGACGCGATCCGGCGCGTGAGCAAGTCGGAGTCCGGCGGCGAGCTCGCACTCGGTTTTGGTGACCTCCGTTTCGTGCACCGCCTCGGGAGCGGCGACATCGGCAGCGTGTACCTGGTGGAGCTCAGGGGCGGAAGCAATGGCTGTTTGTTCGCCGCGAAAGTGATGGACAAGAAAGAGCTCGCGAGCAGGAACAAGGAGAGTAGGGCGAGGATAGAGAGGGAAATTCTCGAGATGCTGGACCACCCGTTCTTGCCGACGCTCTACGCCGCCATCGAATCGGCGCGGTGGTCGTGCCTCCTCACCGAGTTCTGCCCCGGCGGCGACCTCCACGTGCTCCGCCAGCGCCGACAGGAGAAACGTTTCGACGAATCCGCCGTCCGGTGCGTACGGTTTCTTCCATTTCTGTGTTATTGGTTTCTTTTTGCATGTTTTGATGTATTAATTTTATTGTTATTTTTATTTTTTGTGTATTTTTTATGTATTTATTTTAAACTGCGAGATTGTGAATGATATGATGCATCGTAATGTGTGGATCCTTGTTCGTTGCATTCTGTGGGGTCCAGGGGATTAATCTGCGACGGGACGTCATTTGATTTGCGATCCCACTTCGCTTTTGGTGGGTCTGTCGTGCACTAGATCATAATTTAGAAACAACAAATTAGCAGTAGACGACCTTTTCATTTTGTTATGAAGAACAACGAAGAATAATTATAAGAATCGAGCTTATATGGCTGTCTAAATTATTGCAAAAAAATCAGCAACAGTAAAGGGGAAACAATTAATTTCTCTTGTTTTTCCATTTCTAATTCCATTCTTGACAGGAAATTTTATATAAGGACCATTATTGTCCGTAATTTTCAACTTTCCAATTTCTTTCCCGGGATTCATGGCTGTTTTTAACCTTTTATTTTTATTTTTCTGAATGATTTATTTTATTTACTTAATATAAAAAATTAGAAAAGATATAACTAAAAGCAGTTGGCTACCTACGTGACTCTTGTGCATTTCATCACGGTGGACCCTATCGTATAAGATCACTTTCATTCTTTTATTACTATTAAATTAAATTAAATATTAATTTCTTTTTTTTTTTTGACAAAAGTACCTATAATATTCCAGTTGGGCCAACCATACTTTAAATACAGTTTTAATTCGAAGTAGGCCCCACCTAATACCTTAACTCTCTGAAGCTGAATTTTGCCTTTGTTTTTTGATTGGTGGAAGGTTCTACGCGTCAGAGGTAATCGTAGCGCTGGAATATCTCCACATCATGGGCATAATCTACCGCGACCTGAAACCAGAGAATGTCCTCGTCCGATCCGACGGTCACATCATGCTCACCGACTTCGACCTCTCCTTAAAATCCGACGGCTCCGCTTCAACGGCCCACCTCGCCTCCAACCACGACCCGCCCGTCATCGCACCCAACCCCGACTACTACCCGATCGACCAACCCCCATTCGCCACGTCATCATGCATAATTCCGAACTGCATCGTCCCGGCAGTTTCGTGCTTCCGTCCCAGACGCCGCCGCAAGAAGAAGCTCTACTCCGGCCACGGCGGCCCTCCGGAGATCGTTGCCGAGCCGATGGACGTTCGGTCGATGTCGTTCGTCGGAACGCACGAGTATTTGGCTCCGGAGATCGTCTCCGGCGAGGGCCACGGCAGCGCAGTCGACTGGTGGACCCTCGGGATCTTTATCTTCGAGCTTTTCTACGGTGTGACGCCGTTTAAGGGGTTCGATCACGAGCTCACGCTGGCGAACATCGTGGCCCGGGCGTTGGAGTTCCCTAAGGAGCCGAGCATCCCAAGCCCGGCGAAGGACCTGATATCGCAGCTACTAGTGAAGGACCCCACCAGGAGAATGGGGTCCACCATGGGAGCTACCGCCATCAAGCACCACCCCTTCTTTAACGGCGTTAATTGGGCATTGTTGCGGTGTGCTTCGCCGCCGTTTGTTCCCCGGCCGGTGAATTACTCCGATTTTGTACAAGCCGATCTCCAAGGAACTGATAACTCAATAGAGTATTATTAGTTTAAGTTACATAAATAAAAAAAGGAGAAAAAGAAAAGAGAAGGTTCATGGATGGATTATACAACTAAATTGTGATTATATAAATTCTTTACATGGGGATGGGGGTATAGTACCGGTAGTAGTGAGCGTTTCTGAAGGATCTAATTTCAATTGCCTTCTCGTTCTCGGTTATATGTATTTTTTTTTTTTACTCTTTACTAGGATATTCATTTGAGAAATGCTTGGCATCACGTGATGTCTAATACCACAACTAATCATGGCAGGTTTTGGTGTCGTTCATTTTACGTATTCGAGTTTTCAATTCGAGCTGAGATATGATATTTTTTAAAAGTTTTTCACTGTAACAAAAAAAATTAGACGTTATATTTTCTGAAAACTTTTTACCATAAAAATTTAAAACTGAAAACTTAAATCGGTGAAATGAACAAGTCCTTTATATATATATATATATATATATATATAGTCTGTATTGCGCTCACAATTTTTTAATAGTATGCAGTGTTGGACATTATTGGTGCCCTCTAGCAATGTTGATAATGTTTAGAAACTTGGATTCCTATATTTAGAACAGGAATTCTGGGGAAGAGTGGGGGCATTAATTAAAAGAAAGGATATTTATATCCTTCTTGTTTTGTTATTATTGAGATGTGGGTTAAGTAGCAGAAGATTGTTGTAATAGCAGTGGTTAATAAGCCTAACTGTAGATGCGTGGTCCGGAGCCGGCAATGCACATGGAAAGGGGCGTGATCTGGATTGTTGACCCAAATTATTAGGCTGGAATTGAGATTAGTTGTTCCCTTTGGAAATCAAGATTTCAAGCCCCACCCACATGCACTTGTTTAGAGTACGTCGAGGAAAAGGATTAAAGAAAAGCAAAATTCACATGTCTCCATCCCTTTTTTTTTTTTGGACTCGTACCACTGCCTATCCATCACTTGTAGTTACAATGTGCCATGATGTTTCTCCTCTACGTTTTACAAGTGTACATAAAAAAAAGGAGAAAATTTCTCAGCTTATTGTTAGAGTGTATGAATTTAGATTTTCACTAATTTTTTTTACTAATACCTTTTCAACTAATATAATTATTTGTTACAAAAGATATTTATAAAAAATAAAGAATAAAAATTTAGACTCAGACTCTAATGCTATGTTTGGTAGGAAGGAAAGAAAATATGATAGAAAGAAAATATGAAAGTGATGGAAAATAACAATGATGGAAAGAAAATTGATTTTCTTTTATGTTGTTTGGTATGAGAAGATGAAAAAAAAATAAACTTACCTTCACTTGTTTGGTATTGAAAGTTAAATTGGGAGGAAAGAAAAAATCTTACTCGTAAATTACTTTTATACCCTTAAATTTTTTGCTTGGATGTTAATAGAGAAAAGGATAGTTTAGTAACGTTGCTCACTTTAATGAGTTATCCCTATTTTTCATTTCATTTTCTGCCCACTTGTGGAAAGAAAAAAAATAGTGGGGCCCACATGTATTATTTTTCACTCTATTTTCTCTTCCTTTCTCTTTTATCTCCTACCAAACAACCTACATTTTCATTTTTCTTCCTAAAATCTCTCCACCTTCTTCCTTCCTTCTACTTTTCTTTCCTACCAAACATACTCTAAAAGATATTTGTCTCCTTTTTAACCTTTGTCAATTTCAGGTCTTTAGTGGAGGGTTGTCTCATCCTTGAACCCTTCCCAAAAGTTTGTTTTTATTTGCGCTCTACCCGGCCTCCAATGTATGAATAACAACTTTTTTTTTGCATTCGGATCCCCAAACTTTTTGTTTAAAATTTGAACAATCGGCTCCTCAAACTCCCATTTTTTTTAGCACTTGAGTCGTGATCTGAAAAATTTGGACAATTGAGTCTTCAAACTCGTATTTAGTTGTACTTGGTTCCTCCTATTTATTGTTAAATTTTTTTTGTCCAAATTTTCAAAATAGGAATCCAAATGCTAAAAGTCAAGAAGTTTGGAAATCTTAAACGCAAAAAACCCAAACAAGAGCTGTCAGATTACCGCCAAATAAGGCTAGCTAACTTTAGTATTCTACTAGTCTAACTGTTCGTGTACAGTTCAAAACTTTTCGCTATAATATTTGTATTACATACCACAAGCAACTTCACTACATTACAAATCCAATACTGATACAATAAACCTTCGGTAATATTTAGGCCTCGTTCACTTCGCGGATTCGAGTTTTCAATTCGAGCTGAGATGTGACATTTTTTGAGAGCTTTTCACTGTAGCAAAAAAAGTTAGATGTGACATTTTCTGAGAGCTTTTTACTATAGAAACCTAAAACTGAAAACTCGAATCGGTGAAATGAACAAGGCCTTAGACTCCGTTCATTTCACCGATTCGAGTTTTCAGTTTTAGATTTGTACAGTAAAAAGCTCTCAGAAAATGTCACATCTAACTTTTTCTGTTACAGTAAAAAGCTCTTAAAAAATATCATATATCAGCTCGAATTAAAAACTCGAATCCACGAAGTGAACGAGGCCTTAATAATTAGTTCGAAGTTACAGTTTCTTAGACCTTGTTTAATTCATGAGTTCAAATGTCATTCACAAAACAAGAGGGCCAAGTGAAAAACAAACAATACTTCAAGGTATAAGCTGTAATTTAGGGCGCGTTTGGAACTCGTTCTAAAATAATTTTATTTTTTATATGAAAATGAAAATGAAAACGTTTTTAATCTCAGATAAAAATTAATTTTAAAAATGCGTTTGGTAATTTTATCAAGAGATTATTTTCAATATAAAAAACTTATTATTGTCTCTGTATCTTCTCTCTGCTCGAGAGAGGAGAAAACGAAAATAAAAAATGAAAAACGACTAAAAGTCGCTTTTCATTTCTCTCTCATTTTACACTAAACCAAAAAATCATTTTTATTTCCGTTTTTTGTCTTTATTATGTCAAATACCGTTTTAAAAATATTTTTATTTTTTTCTTGAAAAACGTGAAAAATAAAAACGGGATCAATTCTAAACACGGCCTTAATGTTTGCTCTGATGGTCATGATTTTTTCTATTTGCTAAATCTACGAGCAGCTTCTAATGGAGTAGGCAACTTTATCTATTTATTTGCTTGGATTATTATGGAATAGTTAGCTTTTTAACATTTTGGATAGTTCTAGCCTTGATTTTATCTTTGTTCTCTTATTTTTAATCTTGTAGAGGATAATCTTTATTTATTAAATGTAATATGATGGTATATAAATACTGAAGTTTAAAATAGTGGATATACTTTTTGAACAAAGGTAACATGCATGGTATAAAAAAGTTAATACGATATAGTTATTGGACCAAAGTAACAATTTCTTAGTAGTTAATGAAGGAATAACATAACCGTTATTAAAAAAAAAAAAAAAAAAAAAAAAAAAAAAAAAAAAAAAAAAATAGTGCTTCAAGGTATAAGTTATAATTTCTGTTTGCTCTAGTTTTATTCACATGTTTGTATATTACAGTAACATTTTAGAAACTTCGTAGCACTTCCTATATCTTTTTGCAATAAACAAGTTTATATTTATTTATTTGCTAAATCTACAAGCAACTCCCTAAACAAGTTTATATTTAGTTTTATTCACTTTTTTTTTTTTTTTGAAGCTAGGATTATAATGGAATAGTTAGCTTTACAACATTTAAGATGGTTCTAGCCTTGATTTTATCCTTTCTCTCTCTCTTATTTTGAATCTTGAAAGAGATAATCTTCAGGTACAGATAGGAAAGATTTTTATTTCTTTTGGCTGGAAAAAGTTGGTACACAACAAGCAGAAAAAGAAAAAAAAAAAAAAAAAAGGGGGAAAAGGACCAAAGAGAGCTAGGGCCATAAGAAAAGAAGTCAGACCAAGACACAAACATCAGAACACAAACTGAGACTCAAACAGCAGACAAAATATACCAGAGCGAACGCCAACAGAATACTACAAGACAAGACACTGAAAGCAGAGGTTTAAACCACTCAACCCCAACTGTCAACATGGAGTTTTCTCCCAATTCAGGATAATGTTTGCTTTTTTCAATATTATGGAGATACATAGGGCCAAATGTTTTGAATTTGAAATTTCCCAGTTAAGCCCCACTTTGCTCGGTTATGAACTTCTAGTTTGTCTTCTAGTTTAATTTGAAGTTGCAAGTTTGGACAGGATTAAATGGCCGATCCGAAGTTCATTCCTTGACCAAAGTCAGACTGGGTTGAGGATATAGGCCGGAAAGTGCTTTTGGGGCCAAACAAATTTAATTCGATTATCCTTATTTTAAAAGAGCTTTTTTTTTTTTAATATATATATGCCTTATAAGTGTTTGGATCAGTCCGTTCTAGACCGGTTTTGGCTCATGAGCTTTCAGGCTGGGCCGGCCAATCGGTCCAAACCTGCAGCTCTAAGTTAAAATGCAACAAAGGAGCCTTATGTTGATGTTTCAGTGGGCGTTGACCCAACTGATTTTGGGTTGTCACTAGTAGTACTCTTAGAGTCCGTTTAGTTCGCTGATTCGAGTTGATATGTGATTTTATATGAGAGTTTTTTTATTATAACAGAAAAGTTATATTTAATTATTTTTTAGAGTTTTTTACTATAACAAAACTCAAATTAATAAAATGAATATTTAATTATTTTTTAGAGTTTTTTACTATAACAAAACTCAAATTAATAAAATGAATAGAAGCTAGCTTAGTTAGTTCGTATTTTGCTCCCACTTCAAAGTAGAGGTAATAGGAAACGGAAGTGTAAAGGAGTTACTTGGTATTTTGCTCCCTCCAAATTATAACCCTTGTCTCCAATTATCCCTCAAACTTGAATTTGTAACATCTGTTGGTGCTGAATTTTAAAACTCTTCCAAATTTATCCTTATTGATGAAAACTGACACATAAATGATAAAAGGTGGGTATTGAATGTGCAATTACAAAGTTACCCCTGAATCTTTTTAGTTTTTTTGTTGGTTTTATTTTCTTTTTTTTTTTCCCAAGAGGATGTGCAGTACGCTTTCGTCATTTTTTCCCTACCTTTCAACTTTCTCTTTTGCTTGAACTCAAGAACTTTGGTGTTTCATCAATGGCTACCAATAATAATAGTAAACAAAAAACCATTATCAGAAAAGGAAAAAAAAAAAAAAAACCCTCACGCTTAGAAACGCAACAAAATAACAATCCATTTATGTCCATGCTCTTTTCATAAAAAAATTCCAACCATACACAAGACAATCAATTCACGTGTGATTCAATGAAAATAACATTCGCTGAAAGCATTCACAAAATCCAACTTAATAGAATATGCCCAAAAATCAAGCATCTAAGAAAAAATTACCTAAAACCATTTATATTCACCCATAGCGTACGATTTACAATAAAAACTAACAAATAGTGTAGATCTAATGAAAGATATGAAAACAAAAGAACAGATCAGAGGTTGACGAATATGGCCGGCAGTGGAAGCCAAATGAACTCCGGCAAGATTTAACTTTGTTTTATTTGGTTCCAAACAAACTTTGGTCTCTGTGTCGTCCTCTATCGCTGCAGCTGGTTTGCTTATATGTCGTTCTTGGCGAATTTTGGGGAAACTAATGGACAATCAAACCGCTTTAAAAAACCCAAATAATGCATCTATTATAGCTTTTTACTGAAACTAGTTTTTAGCGCGCGCTATGGGCGCCTAATTCATTTAAAATTATGGTTATACAAATTATTTTAATTTATTTTATTGTGTTAGTATAAGACATGTTAAAACGCATTAGAGTACAGTGATTCAAAACCTATTTAGTCCGGCTCAAAAAGTTTATGGGTGCGACATATGTGGTGAAACTTTAATTATGAAAATTTAATTTATTTTGTTATGTTTTAAATTAGATTTATTTTCTTTTGTTTAATATTTTTTATTTAATTTAGTGTGGTTTTATTTTATTTTAGCGTATATTTGTATAATTTTATTTTTTATTTAAATTATTTATAGTATTTTTATTTGTGTAGTATCATATCAGTGCAAATCAATATTAAAATAGACAAAATTGAAAAACAAATCAGTTCAACATAAATAAATAAATAAATATAATAAATAATAATAAAAACAAATTACTGTATTTTTTGGACCGTTTGATCATAAGGACGAACAATCAAGAATGACGCGTGCATCCCACATGCGGGCAGAGACGTGTCCAGTGGAAGAAGGGAGACATGCCGTGTCAAAAAAGAATAAATAATAAGGAAAAAAATAAGAACGAGAAAAAATGAATAATAAAAAAATAAAAGATAGAGAGAAAAGGGGATTTAAAAAAAAAGAAGACAAAAATGTGTATGAAAAGAATTTATTTTATTTGGAAAATAGAGAGAATATATTTATAAGGGTCACAATTGGAGAAAACGAAAAAAAAGGAAGAATTTGTAACAAGACAAGAGTGAGGGAAAGCCGAACAAAAAAAAAAGAAAAAAAAAAAAGAAAAGGGGCTCTACAGGTCAGAGATATTTTAAGACAACAAAAATGTTATTCATCTTCACATGGATAAAATCCCATCATTAATAAAATGACAACCTAGCTAGACACTCTTTATATGAGCAACGGAATTTTATCTCTATAGAGATGAATAAAAGAACTCTTAAAATAATGATTAATTTTAAATTTAATTATCAAAAGAATAGAGTTTTTTAGACAAAGAGAGAAAAAGAAAAAACTCCCAAAAAAAAAAAAAAAAAAAAAAAAATGCTGGACGCGAAGAATGGAAGGGGAAAAAAAAAAAAATCCAACAAAAGTTTCATTGGGGAAGTTAAGGGAGAAACTCATTCTCCGTTTAGTAATGATTGATAGATGTCGTAAAAGATGTTATCACGTGCACGCAATGTGTCATTTCCCATTAACAATTTAACACAAGAAGGAAATTTGCGAGAATTAATTTAAAATTTAAAAGTAATGTGTGATAAGACCTATACTTCTCCAGGGGTGGGGGTAGGGGAACGTGAAATTTATCCTCTTAAATTTTGTTGTCGTTGTTTGAGACTCCGTTCATTTCAATGACTTGAGTTTAGAATTTAAGTTTTGTTATAGTAAAAAATTCTCAAAAACAGTAATATATCTCACATAAAGTCACATCTAAACGGGCCCTAATTCTCTCCACGTTTTTTCAAATCTGTGTCGTTTATCTTTCGTGATGTTGCTTTATTTTGTTTTGTTTGTTGGTCTATGTCCTATGTGCTCTATAAGTCTACTTATCATGTTCAAGATGAAGTCGTTTCTAATCCTTTCAGTCAATTTTATTTTTATTTTTATTTTTTGACTCCCCTTTCAATTTTCATCTTGTCTCTGGCATTATTGTAGTTTCGACAATTGTAAGTCGTCTTTGTTCTGTTTAACTAGTTTATCTTCAATGTCGTTTTAAAGTAATTGTGTCCTTTTATCACTCTATTGTCTCTTTCTCCAGTTGTGTGTCCTGGATTTCTAATTTTGTTTTTGTTTGGAAGTGGTTGCCATTATTTTTAATCTATTCTACAACTGGTTTAAAGGTGTTCAACAAGATTTTTTTAATATGTGAAGGTAAATTTTTTTAATTAATTTATTTTTATTTATAATTCTCGTAAAGTTTAGTTTAGTAAAAAGAAACTAATAAGAACATATTATGAGAAGAAAAAAATAGTGAGACGAATTGGATAGTAAAAAACCATTAAGAAAGTACTTATATATATATATATTAAAATTAGAACTGTCTAAGCTTATCTTAAGTTGCAAGTGTCTAAACCATTAAGAAGGTACTTTTTTATATTAACGTGCCAAATCGGCCAAAATGAAGGAAGCTAGAAAAGAAGTTATTTTATCTTAAACCCAGCAAATTATAATCATTTTGAAAAGCATAAGAAGCAAGGACATAAGCTACCACATTTCGCTAATTCGCTATAAAGGGAGAAAACAAGCCATATATCCTCTAATTCGCTAAGCATGCATGCACACAACTTATACTCTTCTCGTCTGGAACAACCGCCCTTATAAAGCCAATGTAATTCAGTATTGAGTTTGAATGAACCTGAAGGCGAAGAAACCCAACTACTTTCCCGTTTGAGATGGTACAATTTAGACCATGTTCATTTCATCGATTCGAGTTTTGCTATAGTAAAAAGTTCTCAGAAACAGACACATTTAACTTTTTTATTACAGTAAAAAACTCTCACGTAAAGTCACATATAAACTCGAATTAAAAACTCGAATCAGCGAACTAAACGGGTCCTTATGAATTGCTTGAATTTTTCAATTGATGGAAGAATTCAATTTGGTGAGCCATAATAGAGAGCACATCTCTCCGTCTCTCCTCTTTCCTCTCCTCTCCTTCCAATCAAACAAGTGATTAGTCATTCCTCTCCATTCCTCTCATCTCTTAGTCTCCCCCTCTCATCCAACACACTCTAAAGGAAGACAGGTAAAAGTTGCTTATTAATTATGATATTTCTTTTAAAACATGATAAATAATGAATCAATATGGAAAAGTGTGTGTGTGTGTATATATATATATATATATATATGTGGTCTCTTGTATCTTCCTATTACACCATTAAAAGGTCACATTCGAGCGAAAAAAAAAGAACATTCAATGTCTGGAAGACCCCTTTGAAGTAATTTCCTCATAGAAATATGTGCTCAAGTGCGTATTTGGTTTTTATTGGGTTTATGTTTGATAGACCAATTTCACATCCTAATTCATGCAATGCAATTCAATATTGTAAAAAACGGCTAAAAGAATGTGAAAATGTTTGATTCTAACTTTTTTCTTTTTCTTGAATTTGAAGGTGTAGATTCAAACATAAGACCTGCAACATTAGAGTATGCTGTAGAATTATATTGGATCATAAACCACTGCCATAAAATTAGATAACCTAGAGAACAAAATCCAAATCGACTCAACATCAAAACAATATCCTCATGGTATAAAGTCTCAACTAAGTAAAGAAAAGGACCACCACAACATGAGGTGTCAACAATACCATTCTAAACCATCATTGAAATCAGAAATGCATAAGATCTAAAAGTCATTTGAAAGAAAACAAAAACATAAGAAAAACAAACAAACAAACAAACACACTCAAATCTCTTTTAGGGGCCGGAAAAACCTATTATTCCAATAACCATTCTTCCCAAATAACCCATGCATGTGATGCTACTCCTGAGGGTTTATCAAGCGCATGAACCACTGCGGCCACCTATGCATGCCATCCACACTGGCATAAAATCTCGGTGGCCTCGCCGCCTCAACCGCCCCCACCGGTGTCGCACTTTCTCCCTCGCTCTTTGGCTTTCCCTTTGCCGCAAGCGCCATCAGTCGTGGCTTGCAGTTTTGCGCGGCCAGTGTACCTCCGATTCTTTCGATTCTCATTTTGATATTCATTAGCTTTTGTTCAATCAGCCATCTTAAATCCTTCAGGTCCACGATGCTTAGTCCTAACAACCCTTTTGCCCCCATCAAAGTTTGGAACATGATCCGAGTGATCTCCTTCTCCCTATTCTCCTCTCTTTGCTTCTCCAGTTGCTCGTTGGCCTTGGCGATTCGGTTTCGGAGAAAGCTCTCTTGGTTCACCATTTTCTTACTCTGCACTATCTCAGGCATGTTCTTGAACCTGGCCAAGACTCGCTGGACTCCCGACGACGAGGGGTAAACCTCCGGTTGGGCATCATAAGGGCTGCAGATTATCATGCAGACATCAATATCGCAAAGGATACTCAACTCTTCCACCTTCTTGATTAGTCCCTTCTTTCTCTTCTTGAACGTGGCTTTCCTCGCAGAGTCATCGGTGATGTAGGCTAGTTTCACCTTCTTCCTTGTCATGGCTAATAGAAAAGGAAAAAAGGAATAATGAAAAAGGAATAAGAAAGGAAAACAAAAGGTGTATGAGAGAGGAGAAGCGAAAGCAAAAGGGAAACAGAAAGAGGAGGGAATAATTATAGGGCTGCAGATGATAAACAGTAATCCTTAATGAAAATTATAGAAATAAAAATCCCCTCTTATTTATAAAAAACTAACTTAGACTACATATTCATGACCGGATATATTAATTTATTATTTTGAAAATTCATTGGTTATATTTGTAACGTACATTTCTAATGCCAATTTTCTTAAGATATCGTATCTCTCTAATACCACACACATTTTTTTTTTTAATGGTATTAATTGATGTGGGTACAACATGAACAAGGATGGCAACGGGGGCGAGACAGAGCGGAACGGAGAATTAGTGATTTTCCATCTCTATCCCTATCTTAAAAAATTATCTTCATTAACTGTCTCTATTCTTGCTTAAAAAGAGGTGGGAGTGAGGTCGGGGATACTTTGTTGGAAGAGCCTTCTCCATACCTACTCCATTTTCTATCTAATAAAATAATACATTTCAAAATTATAACAATTTAAAACAAAAATAAAGTAGAAATTCACTATAAAACTAAACCAAAGTCAAAAGTTACACAAAATAAACCAAATTCTAAACTTGTGCATACCAAATCTTGATAATGAAGCATCAAGAGGACTATTTATATTTTGAAAATTAATTTTATACATATTTATTTATATAAAATATATATTTATATGAATTATCGGTAGAGGCGGGGTGGGGAATGCTTCTCTCTTCTCTGTTTCGCTGCGATTTGGGGACAAGTTTTTATTCCCATCCCGCCTCCATTCTCAATTATTATTCCCTATTTCCGCTCTTTTCGGGATGGGGTCCCGTCTTCATAAGGAAAATTGTCATCTCTAAAAATGAAAAGATTTTAAAAATTACAAAGGATTTTTAGCATTTTAAAGGAAAGATTAAGATTTCCTTAAAACAAAGGAGAAGAAAGAGTTGAGTAGTTTTATTACTTCTTGTAAATATACTATGTGTAAACTAGCCTTGTTTGTTTGTGTTTTGTCACTTATATAATTTTAACAAACGTTCCAGGACATTATTCATGATTTTTGGATTGATTCCAAGTGCTAACTTAAAATAGAAGAAGAAATAATTTGCAGTGCTAACTTTATGTTATTAATAGATAATTGAAAATAAGAGATATATACCAATATACAAAAATATAAAATTGAAATTACAACTGAAATTGAAATATAACGACAATACCAACAATGACAATGATAACAATATAATGACAATAATAATAATATAAAGGAAAGATGTAGAAAGAAATCAAAATGTTTAAACTAAAACATACCGAGGCTCGAAGACACTAGAGAGAGACCGGAGGAATTTCTGAGAGGAGAAGAAGACTCTAAAATTTTAATATGTCTCAAATGAGGAGGTAAGGATTCTTTTTATAAGGGGTCCTTTTATAGGAGTTAGAGGAGACAATGATTTTTTTCCTTTTTCATGTGGGACACAGAGGCTTTACAAACTTCATGGAATTTTTCTCTGGTTTTTCTAATTTCATGTGAGCACTTTAAGAGTCAATTTCTCATTCACTCATTCATCATTTTAAGCATATGAAAATATCATTTCGATATTCTCACAGCAGAGAACACAAATCTACATTGTTCCGTCACTAGCATGAGTGGGAACTGCTCAAAATCGAACCTTAAACTGGTCCCTCAAAAGGGTTTCACCACTACAAATAGTAAGTAGATGACGCCTAATTAACCACATTTTCTAGAAAACTATTGTCTAATGTGCTTAAAAAAATTCGGAATGAAGATTTTTGTATTTCAGAAATCTATAGCGCACAAACGGTTTTCAAAAAAACGTCATCTAATATGGTATATTAGACGACGGTTTTTTTAAAACTGTCGTCTAATGTAAAATATTTTCAAAAAAAGAGGCGGATCTTTCCTCACCCAATCTTTTTCTAAATTTTTTTGAAGTTTTATTATCTATGTATAACTTCAAATACTCTCTTCAATCTCCCTCTCTTTAATATACAAATTTTAAGTCTATTCTCTCAAACCCCCCTATCAAATTCCTTCTCTCTCACAATACCTAAAGGTTTTATCTCTAATCTCTTCTCTTCTACACTCATCACTCCCTCTAATATACATCCTTCACACCCTCAACCTACCACACCTCCATGATTGTCACAACTGCCACCATGTCTATACACATCGTAAGCGATCATGACCTCGTAAACATATCCGCCACCACATCTTGAGCATAAAAAATTAGAGTACTTCTCATTGAAATTAGATTTTTTTTTTTGTTTGAAATTAGAGTTTTCTTTAAATTTATATGTATTTTTGTTGTTCTATTTTGTTGAAAAGCCTTGCCTATGTATGTATGAGAAGGAGAATTTGTAACATCTTTCTTTAAAAATTTTCAGTATGTTGTTTAATGAACTAGTTTTTATAAATTGTGCAGAATATTTGAAGAAATTGTTGTTTGAACAAAGAACTAGATTTTTACGAATTTTTTTAGACTTTTAATGACGGTTTTGGTGGAATTGTCGTTAAAGTTGCACATAAGATATTGGTTTTTCAGAAAAAACCGTCGTCTAATGTGCCTTTTCTGAAACCCTCAGCATTTCACATGCGTATTAGACGACGGTTAACAACTGTCTTTGTTTCTCTTAGACATTTAATGACTCTAGATACGACGACGGTTTTCAAACCATCGTTGATCTTTTGATGACGGTTTTTAACTGTCGTCTTATCTCCCATTTGTTCTAGTGTTTTCCAGCCATTTTTCCAACGATTCCTGATATGAATGAAATTGACGGAAGAAAGGAAATGAAACAACAAAGTTTAATTTGGTGATAGAGTTCAACGGTCGAAACTACATAGGATAGGTAGGTATTACTTTTTGAGCCTTCCTTTATGAGAATATATTCACTTTACTGACGAAACAGTAATATGATATCCTTAAACTGTTCTGTCATTCATGTAAATGATGATATACCTCACACACAAATTTTTCTTGACACAATTCTGTGGTCATTGTTATGTTCATGTTGGTCATAAACATCTCCTTGGTTTTGCCAGAGTTTTTAAAAAATTGAGCCCTACACAATTCTTCTTTGAAGTGGCCCCCTTCTCTCTACATAAGTGATATCTTATTTAAGAGTAACCCATATTACGCTTGGTAGAATTCTCGACGCACAAGAATCATTAAAAGCATAACTTATCCTTTTCTCTACAGGCATCACTGTTTTTATCATAGGAATGGACAAGAGGTAATTCCCCACAGGGATCTAACTTGGTCTTTACAATTAGGTTGTCCCTTTAAACCTAGATCTTATATCAAATAGGTTGGGTTTCTATTAGATCAAGTACATTCTATTTCATGGGCAGATGGGCTTTAGTCTCATTCCCCTCGATGATTTATCAACTGATTTTTGGTTTAAACCTTTGGTTAATGGATCCACAATGTTATCCCTTGACTTCATTTAGTCAACAGAGATAACTGTATTTGAGATTAGTGTTTAATGGTATTGTATCTGTGATGCATGTATTTAGACTTACCAATATAGATCACATTGCTCTGCGCCCTTTCAATTGTCGATTGTTTATTAATATGTATGCAGATTGCCGACACAGATTTTGGCCACTTTGGAATATCCCATAAAAATTGACATGACCATTATTCAGCCCCTTCTCCACTCAAATTCCAATGTAGATCTGGTTATCATATTATGTTTTGAGGATTCCCATGGTACAATAGCACTTCTGAATGTGAATTCATATCTACTAGTTGATTTTATTCAGTTCGCATAACTGTATCCTTGCAGAATAACTGGGTATCTAGTATAGTGAAACTCATAATTAACTACGAGTATACTCAAGGTATTAAATACTCATACTATTGTATGCACGCAATTTACTAACTGTGTAGACAATTGTAGGTAATACTTTAAAATTTTCAGAATTTCGTGTGATGATAATATAAAAATACAAAAAAATTTTATTCATAAAATATTTCATCATACAAAATATTCACAGCGGAAGATTCCCACAATATAAACCGTCTTGTATTATATCTAAAATAATGACACAATATAAGAACTCGTAACTTTTAATATTTAGAGACAATGCTTACACAAGATCATTAGCCGACGTTTTCGTCTACACAGATTTTCCAGACTATTCTCAAGCTCGACTGCACTTGGCGAATGGACGCCATATGCACTAAAAAATAGTCAATTGGTAATATGAACAATGAGAACAATGTCGAAGCCTAGCTAATATTTAATTATTGTTCTTAACTCAAATGCTGAAGCCTACATATATATTTTGATGGGTGGTTGGAAACTTGGATGTGTTAGATGGGACATATCCTCGCTATCTGAATTGAGTAGAAGAAGCAAGAATATATCTGGATTTATTTAGGGTTTCTCTGGTAAATAGGTTCAAAATATGGTAGTTTGAATTTTTATGGTTTTAATTGAATAGTTTGAAATACTAGTTTGAACTTTTGGTTCAAAATATTAAAAATAAGGGGGCCTTAAACTCATAATTCTTAAGGTTTTTTTTTTTTTTTTTATTCAAAATTAAGTCAGTGTAACTTCTTGGTTCAAATTCTTGTTTTGCATTGCAGGTGTGCTCTTTTTATTAGTGTGTGTGTGTGTGTGTGTGTGTGTGTATATATCCATTTCTTTCATTAGTTAATATACTCAATCTTTATACTCCTAAAAAAATTTGATTCCCTAAAAAAAAATGTTATGAAGATGTTAAATCGTATATTAAAGCACGAATTACCTTGTGAGAAATTTATATAATGCTTAACAATTATTAATTTTAATAAAATATCAGTTGTAATTATTAGCTCTTACTGGGAAAACTTTCTGCCCCGTCGTTGGCAGTTCATAAAAGAGAAGATACGAGCTCGTTTGGTTTGATGAGCCTCATCAAAGGCTAGAGGTGATGAGTGCTAGAGAATCGTCCCATAGAGAAGAGAGAGAATGAAGAAAGTGAATATGAGAGAGAAGAGAAGAAAGAGATTGAAAAGTTGTGCTGTTGTGGACTTCTTTTTTTTTTTTTTTTCTTTCATTTTACTCGTTTAGTGGCAAAAAAAAAAAAAAAACTAAGTATTTTATGACATTAATTAGATATAAAAATGGGTGTCTAAAATTCTTCAATGTTTAAAAACTGCCCATTCATTAAATTTTCCAAGTCAATCTTGGGTCCTTTATTCCGATGAAAGATTAATCTTCAGTTCTTATAGTTTACCTAGAAGAGACTTACTAATAAACTAAGGAAGATTTTATGGTGCATTTTGTGTAAATATTGTTGAGTATTCCCTCCATTTATTGACGACATTTTGTTGTTGGATCACAATTTGTATTTTTAAATGCGAGAAAAAGAAACAAATACCCCTTAAAACATATAAGTATTGAATTTTTACTCCCAGCTTACACTTGATTAATATCTTTTAATAAAAAAACTATATTAGTTAAAAATGTATTAAGTAAGAATAAATAGTTAAAGTCTTAAAACAATGCATTCAAATGGTGAGTTCACTAATTTTCTCATTAAACTAGGATCTTATTTGTAAAAAATGTTTGGAGTGCACCAACAAAAAAGGAAAAAAAAATTAATTAAACTAACATGTGGTTCTAAAGTTATATATATAGGTCAGAAAAAAGTGAAACTACACTTTAATTGAAGGTTTTTAACGATCAGTTCAGAATCATAATGGTAATTGGTTGGACTAATGAAATACAATGCATAATTACTTAATTTTAGTGACAATAAAATAGGCAGAGGAGGTGACAACTAAGGTAGGGTTTCATATACTAATAAAAACATGTCGTTTTTGGTAACACGAGCAAAGCATTGTTTATGGACAGATGAAACCGCAGTTAGAAAGATTCCTAATATTAAACGACAGTTTTCCTAAAGGGCGGTCTCGGTCTAAGACAAACTCATCAATGAGAGTTTGCCACTTCTGCTTTCCTGAGAGGAAATATTGCAACCGTTTCTTTTGTTCTTTCTTTGCTTCTCTGACCGCTCGGTTCTTCTCTCAAACCCAGTGAAAGAAGAGAGAGAGAGAGAGAGAGAAATGGGTTCTCTTCTCTCTGTAGAATATTCATCTCTATCCTCTCACACAGACGTTATCAATTTCGCATGTAACCTCCTATCTATACATACCACTCCAGCTCTGTATTCCCAAAATCAAATAGAGAAGTACCTCTCTCTCTCTCTCTCTCTCTCTGTAACGTTAAAAACCTTTCTGCGTTTCTTAGTTTTCTCGTAATCAATGGCACTTATGGAGTCTCAGTCTCTCAAGCAGCGGCTCTCTGAAGTTATCCGTTCCTTGGAGCAAGAAGTACTTAGTCTCTCTCTCTCTCTCTATATATATATATATATATGTGTGTGTGTGTGTGTGTGTTTAATGTAAGTATATATTGACTTTGAAAATGTGTATGAGGTAGATGGATGAGAAGTGCTAAATCTAAGTTGAATTTTGTTATTAGACATCTAGTTCCGTGGTAGTTGCTGTTAAGGAAAGAATTAAGAAGAAGAATTTTTGTAACTTATTATTTAATAATTGGTTTAAATGGGGTCTCTTTTTTCACCATTTTCCTTTTATTGCCTTCTGTTAGTGATTCAAGGACAATGATAAGAGTAGCACATATTTTTATCTTAATGTGTCTGGTGTTTTGGTGTTTTGGTATTTTGATATTGTTTTAGCACTAATAAACCTTGTGTGAAACATTATTTGAGCATTTCAGTTTGGGTTGACTGGGGTACTATACCACTGGGATTTAAAATGTCACATAATATATTTCATATATCCTCACTTATAATTTCAATTGGATGATTTTGTTTTTTAATTCTGTAAATGCAGGGCTACTTGGATTTTCATTTCAGGATGGCTCAATCGGTTAAGAAATTCAATGGTTCATTCGCCTTTTTGGAGCTCATTTCGACCTTTCGCGCTGACTGCCAATCTACCTTGCGGGTTCTCAGACAAGAACTGTACTATTCAGTCTTTGATTTGATTTTTCATGAATTTTGAATTCACCTTTGGTTGGTTTATACGTTGATGCTACTAAATTTTCTCCATTGTTTTTATTGTGCAGCGATCAACCTATTATAAGTTTTCAGGACATGGAACTGCTTTGTATCAAAATCAAAGGGAGCACGTCAAGGTAACGACACGATTTTTTTCTGTCTCCATGCATTCAATTAAGAACTATAATTGCATTTATTGAGATTGCACGCGCTGGATAAACTTGACAATGATTTTGGTCCTTTAGAATCTAGGAGATCGGCGAATTCTTTCGTGACACGTGGTATGTTAGTCAAGAATATGTATCTGATCGATCATTATAGTTTTTTTTTTCTGACAATAAAGATTTGCTTGTCGTCTGCAGGGATCGTCGTAACGGAAAATTTTATTCATTAATGTTACCATATGCCATACAGGAATTTCATTAGAAGTACCAAATCCATAAAAATGCGTGGTGATGGCTTTGTTGGAATATACCTAAATAAGAATTCTGTTGACTTAATAAGAATTCTTTTGATGCTTTCATGTGTTTCACTTAATAGAATTTTGTTGAAATTTTCATGTCAAGGAACTACGTATTGCATCAAATCAAAGCAAGCACACCATGGTAATAAAAAAGGGTTGTTTTGTCCTACACTAAGTTAAGAACTAAAATCTTACTTGTTAAGGTTGCAGATTAGAAGTCAACTTGTTCGATTATAATTTTAGAATCTATGAGATCTAAAAATCCTTTTGTCACATGTGGTGTTCTAGCAAAAAGATATGGGATTGATCATTTAATGTTTTGTTTCTATCACACGAGACATTTTTGTCGTATGTGAAGCGCGTCGTAACAAAATTTAGCTTTCCTTATATTGCCATTCCGTAACGGAAAAATTGAAAACCAAATTCATAAATATTCATGATTTTGGCTTTTTTGGAATATACCAAAATAAGAAGCATGTTTTTTTCATGTGTACTAATGCTCAAGGACGAAAAAGTCGTGATATTTTCATCTTTTTATTTTAATAAAGTTCTGTTGACTTCTTACTAATGCTGATTAAGTCAATTAGTTGAGTGTTAGAAGTTCCAATGCGGAACATATTGGATTGTTAAGTCAGATGACGTTATAATAATTCATGGCTAAGCCTTTCAATCCTTTTTGCATGTTAGGCTTTCAATTGTCATTTGTTATGTTCTTTTGTAGTGATTCAACTTTTTACTCGAACAACAACGAGCATCTTTTTCAATAATTTTTTTCCCTTTCCAATGCTGCTAGCTAAGTTTGAACCTGGACTTGATTTATGCTCATTTATTAAGAGAATGAAGTATTTAAAAAAAAAAAAAAAAAAAAAAAAAAAAAAAAAAAAAAGAGAGAAGAAGAAGAAAACCGATGTAAAGGAGTCAGAAAATATTGTTTTGCATTCATGTTGTTTGTTTATATTATTTTGTCTATATTTTCGAAGAGAAATGAGATAGTTAAAAAACAGAGAGAGAAGAAGAAGAAAACCGATGTAAAGGAGTCAGAAAATATTGTTTTGCATTCATGTTGTTTGTTTATATTATTTTGTCTATATTTTCGAAGAGAAATGAGATAGTTGCCTTTACTTTTAGGATAGCTAAAGATCAACTATCAAGCTTGTTTTGTTTATATATAACTTTAGTTTCTTCTTTTGCATTTTTTTTTAAGATGCATCACAATGTGAATTCCATCTGAGCTTCCTCTTTTTTGGCTGAATTTGGTGTTGCAGCATTGGTGTTCCGCGTATGACGCTCGCTTGCAGTGATCTGAGGCAGGCTATTTGTAACAATTCTAAAGAGGAGTGAGTATATCTTTCATGAACTTAAATTAAGTTGGAGCTTTTTTTTTTTTAATTTCAATTTGCAATTTCATATTAGAACTTAGATAAAACCAACATTAGTCATTGGTTTTAGAAGCGATGTAAAGGAACGCGACTATCCCTAACGGAGGGACATGAGAGTTCCAAGGAGGGATCATAGAGATTGATAAATATTAGGACAAAAGTATGAAACAGGGACAAAGATGGCTTGAAATGAAAACTCCCCTTTACATTGATTTTAAATGGTAATTTCAACGTATTCCGCAAACCGATGCTTATTTTTTGGGCAAAGTATCTATAACAAATGTATAATCCTGGCTTTAAGGAAGGAGATAATAGATGAGGCAAACGAAATGTTCATGATACAAGCTGTATTACAGTGACGATGGGTATAAAAATCCATTAAATTTCATGTACTTATAGCAATTTGAAAGAGAAAATTGCTTGGTACTTGTGCTTAAAGCATTCTTCTAAGAGGTAAGATCAAGTTTTCAAGAAAATTGTTTGGTACTTGTGCTTAAAGCATTCTTCTAAGAGACACATTAATGTTAGTCTGAAAAACCTTGCATGAAATGCTTAATGTCCCTAATGGATGACCTTTAGACCCGGGAGTTTCGCGTATGAGCGTTTAACAGATTAAGGGATCATTTTGTCGTCAATCTCTTCGTACATCATGTTAATATCTCGGAAAGATCAGTGTCGTTTGTTGTTGTTTTTGTTTTTTTTTCCTGGTCTTTTCTATTATTTCATATTTATCAAAATTCTAGTGTTCATCCCTCCAAACCATGTCACTAAATTAGATGTATCATCATTGATCATGGTTCCTTTTCTCTTTCTCTACTAATGACTAGTGAAAAGTCAGTATGCAATAAATCGGATAACTAGAAAAGGATAAAATTATATGCACTAATCTTTGCCTTATTAGACTTTATGTTTGGAATTATGGGTTTTCTTTTCAATTACATACAATGCTTAACCACACGTTACGCGTTCTCCTAGGTGTATCGTGGCATTGAACCGAATCAAGCATGAATTCCAGGCTATGCAAGACAAGTTGGATCTTATTTGTCAGGTACTGCAAATCACTATTCGCTCATTTTCAATTCTTTTTCTCCTTTTTAAGTTTTCCTACTTAAGCTATTAGAATTCCTGTTTTTAAAATTAGTAAACACTAAAAAGAGAATTACGATTATTTCCAATTCCACCTCCTAACAAGTAAATAAAAATTATGACCCCTCTTGTCTTTTTATTATTATTATTATTTTTTTTGGTTAATGAAAATTCGCTTCCCTCCAATTCTTGTTCTTATGGGGGTTGTGTGTTGCAGTTACAATTATTTCTAATTCCACGTCCTAACAAGTAAAATGATGATGTGGCACTAATTCTTTTGAAAATATGCCCCAAATTATTGATTTTAAGTCAACTTGTCCCCCAATATTAAAAGATCAGGCGACAAATCGATACAAAATCTATAGTTCAGGAGACGTTTATGAATAACATTAGAACTAGTTTGGAGGGGAAAAATGAGCCTTTTTCAAAATTCAGTGGACATGTTGGAACATGATACAAAGTTCACGCGACATTTTTATGATATTAATCCTAAATTATAATCCCTCATTTTTTTTTTCACTGCCATTTTTCTACTCCCCATGAATTCTTGTTCTTATGGGGTTGTGTGTGTTGCAGCTTGAGAGGAGAATCGTCACTCTTGAATTTGAGCTGGCCCCATGATGACGTCGTCAATGCATCTTCTAATGTTTGTTGAATGTGGGAATGTGGGAATCTGATCTATCTTCTGTTTGGACTTTGGTGATCAAATTTGCCCTTTACTTTCATGGTGTCTTTTAAGTAAATTTTAGTCGAGACTTTTTCGGTCAATTGTTAAGGTTAAACTGTGGTTTCTTTTTTTTTTTTTTGGGGGGGAATAATAATTGGTTTCTTTTGTTTCTCTTTAATGCGTTTACTAATCAATAATTCAAATAATTAAATTCCAAGAAAAAGAAGAATCAAATATCCGTAGAATTGTGGAGAAATTTATGTAAGCGGTGGGAATCAAAGTGCCTCTTATTCAGGAAATAAATTCTCCATTTAAATAGATCTACCTCAATTAATTTCTAAAAACAGAAGTAATTATTATAATACATAAAATCACAAACAAAAGTAATTTTTTTTATTTTTACCCTGAAACTTTTATTTTTTTTCGTTTTGGTCCATTTTGTCCTAAAATTTATTTATTTCCTCATTTTAGGTATCTTTTTTTTTTATTTTTTTCGTTTTGGTTGCTTTTACTCTAAAACTTATTTATTTCTTCATTTTGGTCCTTTTTTATCTTTGTTTTTCATTTTTTCATTAAAACTTTTTTTTTTCGTTTTGATTCTTTTTGTCTTAAAATTTATTTATCTTTTCATTTTAGTGCCTTTTATCATTTTTTTTAGCTTCTTACCTTAAAAGTTTATTAGTTTTTCATTTTGGTTCCTTTTTAAGATTTTATAATCAAACGCCTTATACTTTTAACAATAACACAACAATTAAAACTTATCCCCACATGCATATAGCATATAGAGTTCAACTAACATGTATATACATTTGTTGTTTTGTCTTGTTAGTTGCAACCAATAATGACTTTTTGTCATATGATTGGCTTACATATATTTTACATATATTAACATTGACCCTTTACTGAAATGCTTGGGTTAGTTTTTTTAAACCTTTTTTATGTTAAAAAATTATTTGTTTTAATTTCTGTAATTATTAGATAATTTGAACAATAATACACAAGAAAAGTATTGTCTATAAAAATACATTTTCTAAAGATCCACAAAATTAACCCTAAATACTTCACATATTATAAGAAAACTAGTGATAGTGACGCATATAAACTAACCTTTATCCGCTTTTTATATATAATTATATATATATATATATGTATATAAACCTTACACGAACATAAAAGTCAAATATTTCATTGTAAATAACAATTATTTTAACCTTTAAAAAAAAAAACCTTCTACTGGCTCCCTGGATCTCCAAAAAGGATATGTATTAATGTAGATTTATGAGCTTTAAATCAATCGTCAAATGGGTGACTTTCTTGCTTAAAAAGAATTTCATTAACTAGTTCTCAACATAATTATCATCGATTATTTATTACACATAACTTTCAAGGTAGTTAACATATGATTGTTAACTGAAACATTGTGCTAAATATATATATATATATATGTATATACATTTATATTTTTACACCATTAAAGCAGTATATAAGGAAATAACATCTCCAAAACTTACGGCAGCATATATGTATAACGAAATTTCAATAAAAGAAAAATATCAAACTCCATACTAAATTGTTTCAAAAAAAAGGACATCAAATTTCACAAAAGCACTTTAGTGTTGAAGTGCTTTGTGACTTGACATAAGTGGAGACCACACCGTCCTTCTCTTCTTGGCCAAATTTCCAAATAATGCAGTTTGTTGCCATGGCAGTACTAGTACGACCATTAATGGCCTAACCAACTCTGCCTCTACCAAAAAAGTGAATTGAAATAACATTAAAAAGAAAAAAAGAGAGAATACTTGATGCACAAAGATTGGCAAGTTCAAAAAGACGATTGGATTGTACATTTCTTAGTGCACTTGAACTGTAACATTTTCTACTTGTGACTCAGATTCATGTAGACTGCCACGGTGCTGAATCAACTGCGGTGATGGATGATTCTCGGAGTCGATGTGATGGCAATGTGTCAACAGCCGCGGTAAAGTTGCAAAAAGTCTACAGGAGTTACCGCACCCGGCGGAGGCTGGCAGATTCCGCTGTGGTTGCTGAAGAGTTATGGTACGTGCTAATTGACCGTATCTGATATGTTACTCTTTGGTTTTGAATTGAATCACTCTTTGTTTTGCCTGAAAAATGATGGGATTTTTGGTTGGAGGTGGCAAGCTATAAACTATGCAAGGCTGAATTACAGTACGGTTTCGTTTTTCGATTCCCATAAATCGGAAACGGCAGCCTCAAGGTGGAGCAGGATCAGCCTGATTGCTTCAAAGGCATGTTGCTTACTTCTCATAAAGTCTACAATTGCTTCCACGAGTCTTCCTTGATCTTTCTTTTAGAGTACTTTAGACAATAAAATTGAGAACAAAGAGAGATAATAAACATGATTGGAGTTTTTCTTCTTATCTTTTTTCTTTCTTTTTCAGATTGGGAAGGGATTATGTGAGAATTCCAAGGCCCAGAAATTAGCTTTTCAACATTGGATTGAAGCTGTAAGCTTTTTTTAGTTAATTGCTCATCTTCTTATCATAATTACTACAATTGTCATGTTGGTGATAATAATGTTGATGCATTGCAGATAGATCCAAGACATCGTTACGGTCACAATCTCCACTTTTACTATGATGAATGGTGTAGAAGAGATGCGGGGCAGCCATTTTTCTACTGGTATGCACAGATTTTCTTTAATGTTATGTACTTCTCCTTGGTGTTCTTGTCACATTGACACCTTACGTGCATGTCTTGTTCTCTTTTTGCCATCTCTATAAATAATGGTGCAACAGAAATCTATCTCAAGTTGTAATTTCTGAACTACGTCCCTCTTCAACGTTGTGACATTTCGAAGGCATAGAATTAAAGTAGAAAGGATGGATCCAAGGAATTTGTACGTATCAACAAGCAGTTTATCAGAGATGTTTGTTGCTTACCAATGCCTTATATGTGCCTGATCTTTTGCCCGATTTTCACCTTTCTTTCGCCTTTCGTAATTAGAAACTGGTGATATCATCGTATTCGAATGACCTGACAAAAGGATTGAAGGCACTTATCGCGGTTTAGGTGGCCACAGACAATGTTATGATTAACAAAACTATAACATGCAAAACTTTGCACCTATCTGTTATAGGATTTGAGTTATTATAGGAAATGAAAAGCCTAGACAAGTCTAGAAACTTCAAGGACTCGTTCACTTCGCGAATTCGAGTTGAGATGCGATATTTTTTAAGAGCTTTTAACTGTAATAAAAAAAGTTAAATGTGACATTTTCTGGGAGCTTTTAACTATAGAAACCTAGAACTGAAAATTTAAATCGGTGAAATGAACAAGGCTTAAGTGACTTCAAAGAACTAGAAGTAGAACAACTAGTTTAATATATGTCAGGAAGCAGCTGCAAAAACCAGACGTAGTGTCAAATGTTTTCCATACAAAATTATTGACCATGACCAAAAGTTCTGTAAGATTCAAAATTAAATTATCTTATCTGGTACCGATCCATAACTTTGATAAGACGAATGGATACAGAAACCCGGTGCTCTTATTTCTAGCTTCCAATTGTAGATGAATCGTAACCAGAATGGTTAAAACCTAAGATGAACAACTCTTATAAAGATCTTACTCTTTTAACACATTTTATTGTGTACCTATGCAGAAAATCCTTTTACTTACTTTTAGGTAGAAATAAGACTTCTGTTCCAACTGAGAGAAACCTAATGAGAAGGAGGGATATGTACAAGCTAAGGATTTCACAGTGCACTAAAATGCAGTTTCTATCCAAAGAACTCTGATGAAAGGTTACAAGATTTTTCTATTACTTTTCATTTGCATTGTAGCATGTCCAAATTATCATGTTGCACAATGGAAAACATGTTACTGAAGTACTTACATATTTTATCTTGTGCAGGTTGGATGTTGGAGATGGAAAAGAGGTCGATCTCACGGATTGCCCAAGATCAAGGCTAAGAGAAGAGTGCATCAGATATCTTGGACCGGTACCAAAAGCGAAACATCAAACTTTTTACAAATCAGAATTCAATCCGGAATTCCAAGATGTTCCCTAATAATTGAGAAAAATTGAAGGAGTTTTGCTGAAAATGAAACAATGACCATCAAATTTTTATTGTTGAATTTTAACAAAAACTAGACCATATAATATATCTTTTGGTTACCCTTCACTTGGTGACAGAATGAGGATTTATTTGAGTTCGGTGGGAGCACAAATAAAGACAAAATTTATAAGCTAAAATACTTTAGAAAATAAGTCAACTTCTAATATTTCTTAGTAATATTAGTAGGGCCCGAATTCAGATTTATAAACTTCAAGATAAATATCCTTTACTTCTCTCATGCTCATTGTGATCATCTTTCATGAAACCAGCAAGAGAGAGAATCCTATGAGTATATTATTGCTGAAGGGAGGATGATGCACAAACTAACTGGCAATCTCCTGGACACTAAGAATGGAACGCAAAGCAAAAAATGGATCTTTGTAATGAGTACCTCTAAGAATCTTTATGTTGGAGAGGTATGGACTCAGATGCTCACACACTGCTTGTTTAGCAGCTTTGCTAATTGCAGAATCTTCTGGTGTTTTGTTTTATTTTTTTATTTTATTTTATTTTTCTTATCTTTTTCCTTTTCCAGAAAAAGAAGGGATCGTTTCATCATTCCAGTTTCCTTGCAGGAGGAACCACCTTGGCTGCTGGAAGGCTCATGGCAGAATGTGGAAAGCTCAAGGTACAATGCGTCTGGTTGGATCTTCTAGTTTTGGGATGCAGAGATATGACACTAAATAAGAGATGATGATGAAAAAAAAAACCCCCCATTCCACCCTGTGTCTTCAAAAATGCAGAGATTATCGTCGTGTTTTAAGAAAGACAAGGGTGAATTTTGCCTGATTCGAAAAACGCGGGAGATAATCTGTATTTTTTCAAAAGCACAACATAGATTCTTACATTTTGATTAAACACAGGGGAGGTTTAGTCAAAATTGAAAGACCCTGAATGTAAATAAGCATAAACTATACTAATTCAACTTTCTTATATACTTGTGAAGAATAATCACATAAATAAAGAAGCTTTAATTGCAGTAAAAGAATTATACCGTCAAGTTCTTTCTTTCAAGTGTCTAATAAAGATGGCGCGTGGTTGAAGGTCAATTTTTTTCTCCGTATTCGTAACCTCCAGAGTGTATCGGCATATAGCGGACATTACCGTCCTACTGATAAAAGCCTCAGCAGCTTCCTCACTTTCCTCAAAGAGAATGAAGTCAACCTTGATGAAGTTCAGGTACACAACTCACATATATTATAATCCTGTATGACCTTTTCCTGCTTCTGCACCTTTTATCGTCCTTTATTTTTGTAACTATTACAATGAAAGGACACTGATGTTTTACTTCTTCCGCTTCATTTTATCTTCAATTTACATATACTTCAGGTAATGTCTCCCATGGAAGATAATGAGCACTATGATATTAGCATGTCATGTCGACAAGGACGTACATTTCAACAGATAAAAGCTCTTATATCACCCTCGCTTCATGTGCCTGGGGAAACAGAAAACGACCAACATTCTGAATCGTGTGGATCTAGTCAAGTTAGCAGAATCGGTAGTTACCAAAGAACCTTATCCAGTAATCTCCAGAGCCCTCAAACAAGGGTGCCAAAGAAAGAGATCCTGCAGAGAATCAAGTCCAAGAAGGAAGCAAGTTCTTACCAACTAGGTGAACAGCTATCTTTGAAATGGTCTACTGGAGCAGGGCCAAGAATTGGGTGTGTTGCAGATTACCCTACGGATTTAAGGGCACAAGCACTGGGTTTCGTCGACCTCTCGCCAACACTGCACTTAGCAGCATCAGCTTCTGAACCTTCGTCGGGCTCCAAATCATCACTTAAACCTTGCAGGATAATGTGAGCTGAATGTAAAAAGGATACGCATTCTTACGAGCATCGCAAACTTTACAAGTTTTCTAGAAATGTAAATTTCTTCATTTATTATTGTCATAATCTGTAAGGAACCTGGTTAATCACAGCCAAACACACACAACTCACACACAGATGCACAGCAAGAAGAAATTGAAAGGAATCAGGGTAGCTTTTATTGAATTCAACCGGCAAACAACGATTACAGTAGACAATCTAACACAGTAAACCCGAGATTTCAAGTACTCCAGAACTCCTAGCCACCGACGGTGGGAACAGTACAGAGACAACCAAGGGAATTCAACCCCCTTGCCCTAATCCTCTCCTGCCCCCCAAATACCCTGATTCCTACTTGCCTTTGCCACGTCACCTGTCTAGCCACTTTTTGAAATTACTTCTTGACCCCCAACTCTAGTCTTTTTGTCACTCTTACCCCTCCTAGTGTAAACGTTTGTCAATACGGGTCTGACAGTACCCCCCCTTCGAGATCAACCTTGTCCCCAAGGTTGAAGTCAAGAAATTGCCGACGAATTGAGTCTAGTGGCTCCCAAGTCGCCTCCCCCTCCGGCAGCCCCTCCCATTGAATGAGGAGGTCCAAGCCAGAAGGTCCTCCAACGCGAGAATAGCGGGTTCACAACACGGCTGCCGGTCGAACCAAGAGCTCGAGCTCCTCTATAAGCTGTGACGGCAAGGACTGACTTGCTGGGGTGTCGCCCCGAAAGGCCTTGAGCTGTGAAACATGGAAGACCGGGTGGATACGTGCGTCTTCCGGAAGCAGGAGCCGGTACGCAATGGTACCAATCTTCTCAGCAATCTCGAATGGACCATAGTAGTGAGGAGCCAACTTCTCATTACGCTTCTTGGCTAAGGACTTCAGCCGGTACGGTCGCAACTTGAGGAGTAGCCAATCCCCAGGCGCAAAACTAACTTCTCACCGCCGCTGGTCAGCAAAATGCTTCATGCGTTGCTGTGCATTCGCCAATTGTTCCTTGAGCTCTTCCAGCATGTCGTTATGTAGCTGCATTTGCTTGGTCACCTCCTCATCCATCGAAGGAGTGGTCCTGAAATTGGTACAAAACAGGTGGATGCTAGCCATAAACTATGTAGAAGGGTGTATGCTTCGTCGAAGCATTGTAGGTTGTGTTGAACCAGTACTCAGCCCAAGAAAGAAACTTCAGCCACGACCTTGGCTTAGCCCTGGTGAAACACCATAAATATGTCTCCAAACAGCGGTTGGCCCGCTCAGTTTGGCCATCGGACTCGGGGTGATAGGTTGAGCTTGTGCGCAACTGAGTTCCTTGGAGTTTGAAGAGCTATCTCCAAAATGAACTCATAAAGATAGGATCACGGTCGCTCACAATCGAACGAGGAACCCCGTGGAGCCGAACGATCTCACATACGAATAGCTCCGCCACAGACTTCGCCGAGAATAGACGAGCAAGGGGGCAGAAATGTGCAAACTTGGACAACCGATCCACCACAACTAGGCTTGTGTCCCGTCCCTCCGATTTAGGGAGGCCGCCTATGAAATCCATAGAAATGTCCTCCCAAATCCTATTAGGAATTGGAAGGGGTTGCAACAGCCCCGCCGGAAGCATAACCTCGTTTTTGGAACTTTGACAAACCTTGCACCGAGCCACATAGTCTTGTATTTCCTCTTTCATGCCCGGCCAAAACACATTGCTTGACACCCGCTTATAAGTGCAAAAGAAGCCCGAATGGCCACCAATCACCGAGTCGTGGAACTCGTGCAACAATCGAGGTATCCATGGTGAGGAACACGGTAAAACCACCCGTCCTTTATAGAGCAACAACCCCGCCTTCTCACTGTATCCATCCTGAACTTGCTCCTCAGCCAATAGTTTTGCGAGCAACCCCTAACACTGGTCATCCCCCCACTAACCCCTCCTAATGTCCCCCACATCCAACAGCTGTGGAATGGAAATGGCAGTAAAAGTCATTAGCTGCTTATCACCCCTCCTAGACAACACATTAGCGGCTCCCGGTTTGAATTACACCTCAAAATCATACCTAAGAAGCTTGGTAACCCATCGCAATTGCTCTGGTGGAAGCACTCGTTGATCCAATAGGTACCGAAGACTTTGTTGGTCAGAGCGGACCATAAAGCGTGGTCCCAGCAAGTAGTGACGTCACTTTTGTATGGCAAACACCACTGCCATCAACTCCCTCTCATAAACCAATTTCAGCCTACTTGACTCCGATAGTGCTTTGCTAAAATAAGCAATGGGCCGGCCCTATTGCATAAGGACAGCCCCTAGGCCAGCCCCTGATGCGTTGGTCTCAATCAAAAAGGTCTTGCTAAAGTCCGGCATAGCCAACACCGATAATGTGGTCATGGCCCTCTTAAGGGACGCAAAAGCTCCTACCGCCTCTTCCTCCCAACCGAAACCACCTCGTTTGAGCAAATTGGTCAAGGGCCATGCAATCTCACCGTAGCCCCACACAAACCGGCAATAGTATCCGGTCAACCCAAGAAACCCCCATACGTCTCGGACACTCTTAGGAGTCGGCCAAGAGTTAATGGCAGCCACATTGGAAGGGTCCAGCGCAACCCCCTTGCCCGAAATGATGTGGCCGAGATAATCCAAGCTATGGCGGCCAAACACACATTTCTTCAAGTTAGCAAATAGCTTCTCCTACTACAACACCTCTAATACCTTTACCAAATGGCCCCGATGCTCTTCCATGGTCCGGCTATATACTAAGATGTCATAAAAAAACACCAAGACAAATTGGCGTAGGAATGGGCGGAAGATCGAGTTCATAAGGGCTTGAAACGTCGCCGTTGCATTAGTAAGGCCAAAAGGCATCACCAAGAACTCAAAGTGGCCCTCGTGCGTTCGAAGGGCAGTTTTCTCTACATCTTCCTCATGAACTCGTATTTGGTGGTACCCCGCTCTCAAATCCAACTTAGAAAACAACTTCGCTCCGTGGAGCTCATCTAGTAGCTCATCGATGACTAGGATCGGAAATTTATCTTGCACGGTCAATTGGTTAAGAGCCCGGTAATCGACACAGAAGCGCCAACTCCCATCCTTCTTCTTCACTAAGATGACCGGACTAGAGAATGGGCTGCTACTAGGTCGAATGATCCCGGAAGAAATAATGTCGGCCACCAATCTCTCAATCTCCCCTTTTTAGAAGTGTGGATAGCGGTAAGGCCGAATGTTAGGAGGATCAGCCCCATCCTTCAATACAATCCGGTGGTCGCGTGCCTGTTTCGGGGGCAGCCCCTTAATTTCCTCAAAAACATTCCTGAACCCCTCTATCACATCCTGCAACTCCCCCGGTACGACTACCGATTGCTTACCATCCTCCTGCCCTACCACCTCACAGAGTTCCAACAATACCCCCACTTGTCTGCCCCCTACCGTTCGAGTCAGCGAACGAAAACTCACTGGCGTACAACATAAAGCGGTATACCCAATCCAACTCACCCAATTGTCCCCCACCTTGAATTTCATGGTGAACCAAGACCAATCCGCCCGCACTTCTCCCAAGGTCCGCAACCATGTAACTCCCAAAATAATGTTCGTGCTTCCTAAATCAAGTAGGAAGAAATCTTCTACCACCGTGAACCCTTGTACGGACAACTCCAATCCCCTACATACTCCCTGTTGCTTGAAACACATACCGTTGCCAACCTGCACCCCGCATTTGGTCGACAAGTCACATGGTAGCTCTAGTTCTTTCACAATCGTCTCCGACACAAAGCTATGAGACGCCCCACTATCAATCAACACCACCACCACTCGGGAGCCAATTGTGCCCTTAACTTTCATAGTTTTTGCGGAATTGAATCTCATCATAGAGTTAAGGGAAAGGTCTACCTTCTCTTCTGATTGTTCAGTTTCGGAGTCTTCCGATTGTTCAGTTTCAGAGTTCCCTTCCTCCTTTGGTTCGCCTTCCCTAACCAACTCGTCCCCGATGGCCAGCAATAATTGAAGTTGCTGCTTGCTCTTACACCGATACCTGGGGCTGTATTTCTCATCACACTTGAAACAAAGTCCTTTTGCCCTCCGTTGTTGCACTTCATCCTTAGACAAACTCCTATAACCACTCACTCCTCCTCCCCCCCGGACTATTGGAAGAGGATGTCGCGGCCCGTCCACGACCGATCTCCCCTCCCTCTCTTCCGGCATTGGATCGAAAGGAGCACCCTAAAAAAGGCCCACGGCCACTAGTGGCCTCGCTAAATGAATATGACCGTCCCAAACCTCCAGCACGGCCGCGTTTCCACCTTCCTATTTTTTCCACCGCCTCATTCTGATCTTCGATTTGCCGGGCCATCTCCATAACCTCTTAGAGAGCCGTCGACTTATGCATTTTGACCTCAGCGCGCACATCTTCCCTAAGTCCATTTAGAAAAACACCCTTGTAAATAGCACTCGGCTTTCCCAGCACCGGCACTGACAGCAGCTCAAAACGGTCTAGGTAGTCCGCCACTGACCCCACCTGCCTCAAAGCCATAAGCCTCTCCATCGGATCCCCCTCCTTAGCTCTACTAAACCTCTTCAAAATCACTACTAGAGCTGAAAATTCGGGCCGCCCGGCGGCCCGAAAGTGTAGTTCGGGCCGGGCCGGCCCTAAATAATTTTATATAAGCCTAGCCCGTCCCTAAGGCCTGACGGGCCTAGGGCTGGGCCGGCCCAAATCGGCTCGGCCCGGCCCAAACATGATTTATAAAAATTTAAAAAAAATGAATTTATAATAAATAGTGAATATTGTAAAATTTTAATGGAATAAGACTTTATTTATGTAATTATAACTGTCTCATTAAAAACCTTACCAAGAAAAACCCATTGGGATAAAACCTTGGTAAGGAAAAAAGAGTGCAGTATTATTTTCACAGTTACAATTTATATATACTTAAGAAACAAAAATATCTAACTGCCTGCTACACTAATCCCGGCATCAGAAGCGTCATCGTTAATGTATAAGTTTTGAAATTGATCCATTTAATCGTTGTCTTCGACTGTATGTTGCATTTGCAAAGAAGC